TCTTCTTGACAATTCATCGAAACTACGAACTTTAAGTATTTGATTCTTTTTTTCCTGAAACAAGCTACTGACAACTTCAAATGTGTAACTTAAATAAATTCCTTATCTTGTTTTGTTAAATATAACATGTGTGTTTCCTTTTCATTATCCCTGAATAGTTCACTTTCCTCGTAATAATAACAAAGATTTTGACGAAAAAAAAACTCTGTTTTTATTAAATTTGGCGGGGATTTTTTTTAATCATGATATACTCATTTTTTAGCGTATCAGTAGAGGTTTCTATGCAAAAAAAAAAAAACTAAAAAAAAAACAATATCACGTATGGTCGCTCGTCAAATCAAGAAAATATATATTGTAAAAAATACTACTTTCCTTATGTTGGGGTTACCAATGTAAATGGTGTTTTGTTGAAAAGATTAATGTGGCTGCGTGTTGAAGAGCATTTAACATTTATACATTTTTAAAATCAAGGAAAAACAATGGAAAACCGATTTTTGTTTCAACGATAAAATAAAATCAACACAAGGTAATTTGTGTAATGTGTGAAGGAGAAAAAAGTAGTTTCCCTTTATCTGTTAGTTGAATTAGGAAATGTAATTAAGCAAGTTTTCTGAATAGAATGTTCAAAGTTCTGTATTGAAATAAAATGTGTATTCAGAAGAACATACAGTAAGTTCAAGTGTATATTTTGTATAACTAACAGAGCTGTTGCAACTTGGCTTGTTCACAAAGAACTGACGATGAAGGATATTCAAGTTCTGTGTCTGTGTGTGTGCGTGCGGAGTGAGTAGAATGAATAGTCTGTGTAGACGTGAGTAAGTTCAACTGTCTTCAACTCTACTGTTTAATTTGGGAATGAATCCGGAGTTATATTATTACCGGTAGGCTCCCAGCACGAACTCGGGATAAATTTTGAAAGAACACGAAAAATATCTGATTGGATGAAAAATTAACCAATCGGTGATTTTATAACAAAAGCATGTTTGTGAGTTAACGGTAGGAAAAATTCAGTGTGGTGAATGCGATCAGTAAATTGTCCTGTGATATTTAGTATTTATTATTTGACCAATCACAGTTGAGTAAATGTAGGCGTGGCAAACATAGTAGTATTCACTACAATATGTCATAATTCATGTCCTGTATAGTCCTTCAAAAGGATTTTTTATTGATGGAATTTATACGGAAGAAGAGGGGAGTGAAAATAAAATAAAAAAAATTAGTGATTTAATTATACATCGAGAAGTTTTCTACTTAAAATACAGTTTTAATTAAAAAGAGAATAAAATTTACGAAAGCGAAAATCTATAGAAAGTGCACTAATTTCTGAATCTTTTTTGCATCCAGATTCACAACATGTTTCGCCTTTCTTACTATCACAATGTGAAATATTTGAAAGCTGAATGAAGTCGACTAAGATATACGTCTAGACACATCAGACGCCAATAATTTAAAATTTAAAGTTAGCGTTCCTACATCTTCCGCATTCCTCTCAGTATATAATTTTCACCGACATTTTGTTTATATCTCCAATCTCCTCCTATATATATATATATATATATATATATATATATATATATATATATATATATATATATATAATTCCATCAATAAGAACATTATTTTTAACGAAATGAATATATATATATATATATATATATATATATATATATATATATATATATACAAGTATATAATTGGTGTATACGGGAATGAATTCCAATAACCAACAATTACTATTCTTAAAAGAGTGCTCAATACAAAGTAGAGAAGATATAATTATTTTAAAAAACATCATCACTTGATAAGACACCGAGTGTGTTGAAACAAAATGGCTATTTTTGTAGTGATTTTATAACATATTTATGTTATAAATATTTTAAAAAAATAATTATATATATATATATATATATATATATATATATATATATATATATATATATTTCGTCAGGCTAAAATAATGCTCTCGAAAATCTTTCGGTTAAGCACCAATGAGAGATGGTCGAATTCTATAAACAGCAGCTGTCAGCGCTGACACATCGTTCTTCATTAATGAATAGAGAAATCTGGCTGTCTGGCTTTTGTTTGCATTCGTAAAAAACAATACGCTAGAATTCGTCTTTCTCTCTTCCGAAGCGCCTATGGCTAGGGGGGTAGAAATTCCGACTGATACCAAATCAGTGGGGGTTTAGATCCTGGCTTCAAGCATTTTCTATGAAAATTTCTCGGACATTTAGGCCGGTAAATGTTGTTAATACTGTTTATTATAAACAAAGCATTTACTTAAATATTTGTATCTATAAAAAGTACGTATAAACATAAAAAATGTCTTAAAAAATAATTGTCGGACTTTGTCCATTTCATAATGTGTGACGTCATTTGTTTACATTTGGATACACATTGAGCAGATACGAATATATGAGAGAAAATCATGGAGAATTGTGTTTAAATACAGTAAAATCGACCTTGCAAACCGAACGCTCCTCTGTGGCCCAATCGGTAAAGGCACGTCAGGTTCAATATAGGATACAGGTTCGATTCCTGTCGGAGAACTCATATTTTCTATGAAAATTTCTCGGACATTCAGGCCGGTAAATGTTGTTAATACTGTTTATAATAAACAGAGCATTTACTTAAATTATCTATAAAACGTATATATATATATATATATATATATATATATATATAATATATATATATATATATATATATGCACTGCATAACAAAAATTTTAGGAGACACCTGGTAATTTTTTTTTTAAAATGGGCCCCAATAGTTGTTTTGTACTTTAAATAAAAGAAAATGGTTTAAAAAAAAGTGATACTTAATATTTTTATAGAAATTTTATTATTTATGACAAAAAGAAAAAGAACATTTTCTGATTAAATTTTGCTGTCGTCAAAATATCCTCCTTCAGTATAAGTTGAGAATCTTTTATCGATAAAGATTACAAAATATTTTAATGCTTTCGTTTTACTTGGCGACACTACAGCTGACAACAACTGTCAGACAGTATCTCGAAGCTCAACAAAAGAAATACTTTTTCATGGCAAATTAATTCAATTTTAAAAGAGGAAATTCGAAAACTTACTGATATAAGGGAGAAAACTATTGCTTTCTAGAAACGTTCAAATTTATTCAAGACACGCTTTTATTGAGAACTAGGAGCATGGCCCGGCATTGGCCGTGCTTGATTTAAAAATCGTACGACTCATACAGCAATCGCTATCACTTGACTTAAAATATTTTTGCCCTTCCTTGCCTTTAAAGGAGTGCCCTTTGCTACATGCTTTATTTCTTTCCTATCTCACACTGCGAATTTTTTCTAAGCTCTATACTAAACATTAAATCTGTTATGAAAAAAGAACTAAACAAAATGAACACAAAACGATCAGCTTTAAAAAAGGACTCGTAACTGAAAAAACCGAAGGAAAAAAGAATGTTAACAAAAAATACTTTTTCACACCCAACCCAGTTCTGCGGAATCAGAATCAACGTTGAGTTTAAGCAAGCGAATGAGCCAATTGTAGTAAAGTGCCATGCAGATTTAAATTTTTCCCACTTGTGACAAATGCAACTATCGATTTTTTTTGCATGCTAGCATGTTAGTTAACATTCGTGTCAGTCAGATGTTGGCTCTCACGCTGGCCAATAGAATCTTCCTGCCTATTCGTGGCAGCCAGCTATAGGCTCTCACTCTGGCCAGTAGAAAATGGCCGCAAACTACATGAAAACTGCCGTAGAAGCATGAAAAAATCGATTATTTCCACAATCGATGGGAGTTGGGAAATGCAATGTCGGTCTTGGCCTTCCCGCCGAAAATTGCAGCCGTGCATTCGTTACACACACACATCCTGCCTTTTATAGATATAGATTATATTAGAGAAAAGATTTTTCAAATTAACCTCCCATCATTTTTCCCGACTATGCACAAATGGAATGTTAATTTAGACATCTCATAAGCTTTCCGATATATATATATATATATATATATATATATATATATATATATATATATATATATATATAATATATAATTAAATGTTCGAATGATATATTATTTAATTTTCTTTCACATTCTGAAAGACTATTTCCTTAAATACTATCTTAAATCGTATTTGCAAATCATAAATAAACGGGATGTTATTTTTGTATCTATAACAAGAAAAACAATGGTAAACTTTCTTCTTAGTATCTAAAGAATTGTACAATTTTAAGGAATGTGTACTGTTATATTCCAGGATGATATGATGACCAACGTATATAAAATAAGAGCAATTGTATTGTAAATACAAACAATATTTATTTTTGTCTCAGCTTACTTGATGTCGGTGGATGAAAAAAGATTAAAATTCATTCACGTGCTTGTGCGTAACAGCAATCAATGTGGAAGGAATGTCTTTGCTTTGTTAGAGTTATCTCCCCTGACATAAACAATGTGATGAATCTAGCATGTTTGGAGAAAATTAAAACATTGAAATTTATTCATGCTAACTTGAAAACAAAATTAAGTACATTTTCGTATTCAGTGACCATGACCTGCCCTAAAAATATTCTACAACTTTTTTTGTTTAGTAGTAATATTTTTTCCTGATTTTTTAATGAAACTAAATATTAATAATGGCAATCCGTATTCTTCAGCTTTATGTAGGAAATTTGAAAAAAAAAAAACACTATTTTGTTTTGACCAACAAAGTACGTACCAAATGTGTTTTAAAGGTGAACTACAAGGTGCAATTTTTGTTTTACTTTGAGGTGACAGAGGCACCTCGAGGCGGTTTAATGGTTTGCAAGCTTGTCTCGCTAGAACAGTTACGACCGTGTAGTGAGTTAGATCCTCACTAGGTGCCCCATACTGTCGGCCTTGTGCCACATCTAAGCTACGCTTGGAAAATCGCTATACTTTCGGTTTTGTGCCACATCTAAGGTATGCTTGGAAAACCATTAGTTTTGTGGTGACAGCATTTAAGTTAACACCGCCGGTGTCTAGTTGCTTTCAGATTATGGCCGCCAACGATAACATTGGAAATTGGCAATTTGTCTTGGATGCTACGCTCGAAATTTTCATAGAAAATGAAAGTTTGCAGGATTTTAAGCAGTTGGACAGCGACCAGAAAAGAATGGAGTTCATTCTTAAGAAAAATCTTGTCTTGTACGTTTTTTTAATTACAATTTGATTATGCAAAAAACGATATAAATTCAAAGTGCATCTGTATGCTATGCAAAATAATTTTTTTAATCTTAAGTTTTCGTCCTAGTACCATGTTAATGATTACTGTCTTTCCGTATTCAACTAAAAATAATGCAAAGCATAAAAGGTTTTCGACTTGAACATAAAGTCAGGTAAAATCACGCTCTCGTCTTCTGTCCAACTTCAACGCAGTTGATGAAAGTACAGTACAATCTTTGCGCCTATCCACACGCGTGGGTTCCTGCATTTAAAAGGGGACTTGTGACTGAAAGTGATCCCATCGAACCGAAACAAATATGCTCAGGCGACGTGATTTTTTTTTTTTTAAATTGATAGCGCCGAGTTCGAATTCCAGTCAGATCCATTACAAATTCACTTACTTAATCTTGAAAGGTATGAATCATCTTATTCTCCCCACAGCTATGGGTAAATGGCAAGACAAACCGGGTTCTTTAGCTTTGGATGGTAACTGGTTTACCACAGAAAGAAATGGCAACCTACTGCAGGAAAGAATATCTGCCTCTTCAGTCATGTATCGAAAGATACATGATCGCCTAAGCGTGTATCACGCATGGCATATAATTGACTGATATAGTAATATACGAAAAGAAAGCAATAAAGATTATGAATTTAATTTTTTTATTTTAAAAAATCATGTAGCATGAATTTTTGTTTCTGTGTGGGGAGATCAATTTGAATTTAGGAAAATTTGGTAATTTTGACAGGGTAGTAACTAAAATTTAGTAAAAGTTGATTGAAAATTGGGCATTATTACACTTTCACAGTTGCTTTCTATCATTCAGCAATGGGTTGCCCCCGGGTATGACAGTCTGGACTGATATTGGGCCTCCTACAATGGATTATTTTTGCCGCTACATCATATCATGTGTTGGCACCATATTAAACTGGCCTTATGTCTAATTTTCTCTCCTTATTTGGGGCAAATAAATGCAATGAATAATGCTTGAACATATCTACACTTCAACAATTTTAGTTTAAGAAGCTGGTAATTTTCTTGAATTTGATAATAATTAACCAGTAAATTTAAATCGAGCTGCCTGCAGGTGTCTTCAGGAAGTTCAACAGGGACACCTTTATGCACATCACTTTTAAGCTTTGCATGCCTCCTCCTCTCCTCAAAATGACAGCTTCCACTCCGAGCAGCCTCATTGCAATTATATGTACATTCTTCCCAGTGCTCACAATGAATGTTGCATTTCTTCAGCACGTCCTTGATGCAGTCCTTAAAGGTTTAATGGCATTTCTCTTCCCTCTTCGCAGCTCACCATAAAACAATTGCTTTGGAATGTGGCTGTGATCCATTCTAACGAGGTGGCCCACCCACTGTAGTGATATTTTAGTACTATCAAAGAAGCGCCTTCCTAGCACATCTGCGTCACTAACAAACATTTGCCAGGTAATGCCAAGGATATGATGTAAGCAATATTGGTGGAATCTCTCAAGCCTTTTCATTTGTCTACGGCAGTGGTTCCCAACTTTTTTACATGGCGGCACACAACTGAGTTCTTTAAATTTTCGTGGCACACCTATCACAAAAAATAAATATTTTCCACTCATAAAGCCTTTTTGCAATAAAATAATAAAAAACAAAGAATATTATATAAGAAGAATTTTTATTCCCATAAATCAACATATCCTGTATTTAATATCGATTATAAAATAATAATGGTGAATGTCAGTGAGACAGTAGTGCCTGGTGCTTCTTGACTATTGCTGCAATATTTGGGCGAATGTGAGAGAGAGAGACACACTCTTAACTCTTCAATATTTTTAAGTCTTTCACGTTTTTTTATTTTAATGTTGTTTAGGTAGGAAAATCCCATTTCACATAGGTACGAAGTTGAGAATTGCAGTAAGATTTTGATGACTTTTTTACTTAGAGTTGGATACTCTTCCATAACAGAAATCCAAAAGGTGTCCAATGGCAGTTGTGCATACTTCAATTTGAGACCACAATCACTGGAAAGGCTTGCTAATTCTTCCTCTTCACAAAACTCAAAATTGAAAAGGTTGATGACTGATAAATCTAGGAACGGATTGCGAATCCAATCAAATTCTTCAATGCTGATTGAGGGAAAATAATTTTCAATTTTATTTTCTAATGCTCACTAATAATGGGAATCATCTCAGTAACGCAGGTTTTGTGAACTAAGGGAAACATATTCAAATCATCTACCTTCATTCTTTTCTTTCATATTGCAACGTTTTTCTTAAAAGCAACTAATTTATCTGTTGCTGTAAGAATATTTTCCTTTCTGTCTTGCATATTTCTGTACAGACTATTGAGATGTCTAAATATCTCATTTAAGTACTCTATTTTAGACATACACAATTCATTTTTAAGGTATTTACAAAATCTATCAAGTTTTTCATTTTAAAAAAAAATAAAAAGTTCTTTCTGAAGCTCAATTACGTGGGATAGCACGTTTCCATTCAATAACCATCTTATTTCTGTGTGCAATAGTAAACGAACATGATGAGAATTCATATCCTTGCACAGTAACTCAAAAATTCTGAACTTCAAAGGCTGAGTTCTTATGAAATTTACCATTTCAATCACTTGATTCATCACCTCTTTTAGTTTATTTTGTGCTATCTTTGAAACTAATACCTCTCTGTGAAAAAAAACAATGAGTTCGCACGATGTAAGTTTTTCTACTAAAGATGTCTGTTTTTCTACCAAAGATGCGAAACCTTTTACAGAACCAACCATTGATGGTGCTCCATTGACACATATTCCTACACATAAATCCCAGGATAAGCCATATTTTTCGAGGCATATTGTGATTGTATCAAAAATATCTTGACCTTTTGTAGTTGTGGGTAACTGTTTGCAGCATAGAAATTGATTAATTATGGCATCTTCATCGATGACATGTATAAATGCAATTAACTGTGCATGATAACTGATGTCAGTGGATTCATCAATCAGACTATTTTGAAATTTGGATATTACACTTCCCTCAATATTATCAGACAAGTCAAGAATCCTTCGCTGAATTGCATTGTTTGAAAGAGGGATCCTGCTAATTTCTTATTCGGCCTTATCACCAAACATAATTTTCACCATCTTTTTGCATGCTGGAAGGATCACTGATTCTGCAAGAACATGAGACTTCAATTTAAGAGCAATGATTTCAGCCACTTCATATGAAGCTAATTGAGCTTTTTCAGACACGGTTACTGTTTTTTTACATAGTTGACTTTACCTTGCATTTGATTCTAATAACTGTTGAAAATAATCAACATTTTTAGTTTGAAGGGTAGGATGATTAGTAGTAAGATGTCTTTTCATTTTACTTGGAACCATTGCTTCATTAGACAGTGTTTGGCCACAAACAACACATAATGGAGAAGGAGTCTGTGTATCTCCTGTCCAGTGAAATCCAAATTTCAAGTAATCATCACTATACAACCGGTGAACTTTTGGTTTTTTAAATGACATTGTAGAATTATTCTTGTCACCATTGCCTTTTCTTTTCAGAAACTTGTCCATAATTAAGGGTAAATTGAATCTAAAATTGAAAAAAAATGAATCTAAAAGAATATTTAATTTGTTTTTTGTTTGTCTTACTAAAATTTTAATTTACAACGCCTAAATATTTAATAAAAATATCTACAAAGAATCTGTAAATATTGTGAACGAGATATATAGATGATATAAACTGGTGATAAAACAATACCTAAATTTTTAACGATTCCGATTCCAAACCAATATTACTTAAATGTAATTGAGCGGTGTCATCATGATTAAGAAATTGAATGTCTTTATTAAACAAAATGAAATTAAATGACTTCTAGGTATTATCTCTTCACGGCACACCAGTAATCATTCCGTGGCACACTAATGTGCTGCAGCACAGTAGTTGGGAACCACTGCTCTACAGTAAACCACCCACGACTCGCAAGCATAAAGAAGTGCTGTAAGCACACATGCTTGATAGAACTTTAGCTTTGTACTCTGTGAAATTCCGTGCTGTGACCACAGACGTTTATTCAGTTTTCCAAATGTGTTACTAGCTTTTTGTATGCGGTTTGAAATGGAAAGTTGAAGGTTCACTTATCGTTGATCAGGAATTTGCTATATGCTGATGACTGTGATTTTGTGGTTCACTCAGGAGATATGCAGCATCTCATGGATTCTTTTTCCGATGCATGCACTGCACTGAGATTGACTTGAAAAAGACAGTAACCATGTACCAACCAGCTCCAAGGAAGCCATATCATGAACCAAGCATCTTTGTTTATGATAAACTATTGAAGGCTGTTTATGCATTTGTGTATCTTGGGTGAACATTGAGCATGTTCTGTGATCTTGATGTGGAAATATAAAAGGCATGAACACTAAAATTTCATGAGGTTATATTTATTTTATTAGGGTCATAAAAAATGGCCCCAATTCATCAGAGCTTCAAATCCAAGAGGAAACGGAAAATACTTCTTCAGGTTTAAATAACAATTTTTTTTATAAAAGTGTATACATTAAAGTAGGGGGGAAAAAGTTGGAAAGAAAGATGTGTAAGAAAGATTGAGAGCAAGGGGTGGAAATAAAGACAGGAAAAAGTATATGTTAGATTGTGGAATGAAAGATGATGAAATTATTCAGAGAGAGTTCATAGAGAAAACTTTTAAAAAATTGAGATTGAGACGAACGGAAGTTATTTTCAGTTAAAAAAAACTGACTTTCAAGTTATTGACCTAATTTAAAATACAGACTTTTTAGGTCAACCCGTTCAAAGTCAGTTTTTTCAACTGAAAATAACTTAAAAACAGCATTTACTTAAATTATATTTATAAAAATAATGTATAAATAAAAAATATACATGTATATATCTGCATATAATTGTGTATTTTCCAAGAATGTCTTTGAATGTTATGTTGTGAATCAAAGTATAAGAAATTTTACTAAAAGAAAGTTTGCCGTTCAATTGTTTCCCATGACACAAATGGCTGTCACTCTGCTGAGTAAGATGACTTTTGTGAAAAAGTTATAAAAAAAAATGTCTCACCACTCTGGTATCACACCAGGTAATGTGACTCCTCCTTCTCCAAGAAATTGATCAAAATAAAATTTAAATAATAACCGATCTTGTCCAGAAAACAATTTAAAATCATAAATGACAGGAATAACTTTGTAAAACACTGTCACAAGAAATCGGTATTCGGTTGACATTGTCAGATTTGTTAGTTTTTTTAATGTTTATGCATGATGATTTGAAGACACTGTGACTGAATATCTTCCAAGAATTGGTCCAATCCATTTTTGCTTATTTAACAGTTATAGAAAGCATGAAAAAAAAAATGTATGTGGGTCATGATAAAAAGTGATAAAGAAATAAGGTGAAGAGAAAAACCAATAATAATAATAATTCTTTAAGATTATCTTGCATTGTATTTATATAAGTATATACTTTATTTATTTCTAGGACTGAAAAGTAGGGGGAAAAAGTTGGAAAGAAAGATGTGTAAGAAAGATTGAGAGAGAGAGAGAGGGGTGGAAATAAAGACAGGAAAATGTATATGTTAGATTGTGGTCGGATTTGTTAGTTTTTTTAATGTTTGCATGATGATTTGAGGACGATGTGACCATGAACACCTTCCAAGTATGGCCCAATCCATTTTTGCTTACTTAACAGTTATAGAAAGAAAAAAAAATGACATGCGAGTCATGAGAAAAAGTGACAAAGAAATACGGTGAAGAGAAAAACCAATAATAATAATAATTCTTTAAGATTATCTTGCACTGTATTTATATAAGTGTACACTTTATTTATATAAGTATACACTTTATTTATATAAGTGTACACTTTATATAGAAAGCAAAAAAAATGACATTAACAAAGAAATAAGGTAAAGAGAAAAAAAAATTAATAATTCTTTAAGATTATCTTGCATTGTATTTATATAAGTTTATAAATTTATTTCTAGGACTGAAAAGTAAGGGGAAAAAGTTAAAAGAAAATTAATAATTCTTTAAGATTATCTTGCATTGTATTTAGTTTTTATAAGTATATACTTTATTTATTTGAAAAAAAAAAAAATCGTGTCGAGGTCATGAGAAAAGGACTGAAAATAAGATTATCTTGCACTGTATTTATATAAGTGTAAAAAATAAGTGTACACTTTTGGAAAAAAAAGATGTGATAAAAGAAAGAAATTAGAGAAAAATTAATAATTCTTTAAGATTATCTTGGTATTTATGGAAATAAAGGACTGAAAGGAAAAAAAATGTATATGTTAGATTGTGGTCGGATTTAAAGACAGGAAAATGTATATTTTTTAATGTTTGTTTTTTGATGATTTGAGGACGATGTGACCATGAACACCTTCCAAGTATGGCCCAATCCATTTTGCTTACTTAACAGTTATAGAAAAAAAAAAAAATGACATGCGAGTCATGAGAAAAAGTGACAAAGAAATACGGTGAAGAGAAAAACCAATAATAATAATAATTCTTTAAGATTATCTTCTGTATTTATATAAGTGTACACTTTATTTATATGTACATTGTACACTTTATATAGAAAGCAAAAAAAAATGACATTCATATAAAAATAACAAAGAAATAAGGTAAAGAGAAAAATTAATAATTCTTTAAGATTATCTTGCTTTACTTTATTTATTTCTAGGACTGAAAAGTAGGGGAAAAAGTTGGAAAGAAAGATGTAAGAAAGATTGAGAGAGAGAGAGAGGGGTGGAAATAAAGACAGGAAAATGTATATGTTAGATTGTGGTCGGATTTGTTAGTTTTTTTAATGTTTGCATGATGATTTGAGGACGATGTGACCATGAACACCTTCCAAGTATGGCCCAATCCATTTTTTGCTTACTTAACAGTTTAGAAAGCAAAAAAAAATGACATGAAGTCATGAGAAAAGTGACAAAGAAATACGGTGAAGAGAAAAACCAATAATAATAATAATAATTCTTTAAGATTATCTTGCACTGTATTTATATAAGTGTACACTTTATTTATATAAGTGTACACTTTATTTATATAAGTGTACACTTTATATAGAAAGCAAAAAAAATGACATGCAAGTCATGATAAAAAGTAACAAAGAAATAAGGTAAAGAGAAAAAATTAATAATTCTTTAAGATTATCTTGCATTGTATTTATATAAGTATATACTTTATTTATTTCTAGGACTGAAAAGTAGGGGGAAAAAGTTGGAAAGAAAGATGTGTAAGAAAGATTGAGAGAGAGGGAGAGAGAGGGGTGGAAATAAAGACAGGAAAATGTATATGTTAGATTGTGGTCGGATTTGTTAGTTTTTTTAATGTTTGCATGATGATTTGAGGACGATGTGACCATGAACACCTTCCAAGTATGGCCCAATCCATTTTTGCTTACTTAACAGTTATAGAAAGCAAAAAAAATGACATGCAAGTCATGATAAAAAGTAACAAAGAAATAAGGTAAAGAGAAAAAAAAATTCTTTAATTAATTTTTAAGACTTTATTTATCTAAGTGTACACTTTATATAGAAAGCAAAAAAATGACATTTATAACAAAGAAATAAGGTAAAGAGAAAAAATTAATAATTCTTTAAGATTATCTTGCATTGTATTTATATAATATAAGTGTACACTTTATTTATACACTTTATATAGAAAGCAAAAAAAATGACATGCAAGTCATGATAAAAAAGGAATGAAAAATTAATAATTCTTTAAGATTATCTTGCATTGTATTTATATAAGTATATACTTTATTTATTTCTAGGACTGTTCCTTGGGTTCAAGCCTATTTTGAACACTGCAATGAGTTGAATAGAAAATCTGAGAAGAAATCAATCTCTGCTCGACAAGATGGAAATCTCCTATTTAAAAAGAAGCAGTTTCTAGATGCCATGGAACTGTATACAAAGGTAAGTAATACTTCTGTGTAACTGAAGTCAGTGTCAAATCTTTGCATGATTCACAATTGACAGCTATTCTGATTCTTGTATGCACTTATAAATTGGAAGATGGAGAAAAAAACAACTGGCTGTCTTATTAAAAATGGAATGAAAATTTAGAGAAAATACTAAATTTATAATTCATTGTTTTAAATAAGTTTAACACAAATATTATTTGCAAAACAAAACTCTGCCTTAGTGTGTGGGGTAATGGTTAGTCTGGCTGACTGTCTTCACTTAATCATGAGTTTGTTCCTTAATTTCTGCTTGTACAATAATTCAACATTAAATAATCCAACAAGGTTTGATATGTCATAAAATTAATCAACCTAGCCATTACTACTGAGTAGTGAGTTTTTTCGTCACTGCGTGTCCCATACAATAATTCAACATTAGTTTGATTAGATTTGTTTTTTTACAGCTTATCAAACCTTTGTGGGTTATTTAAAGCTGAAACATCTTTTGGATTGTGAGAATATTTTATTTTATTTTCAAGTGAATATTGCCTTAACAAATTTTTTTGGGGAATTAACGATTTTTCCAGATACAAGTCCAACCATTTAGCCCATAGTTGTGGGGGTGGATGAAGATGGATTCATACTTTTTCCAAGGCTACAGGGTGTGGTAGAAATACCTCCCATATAATAGTAAGACAATGGTGTCAATGGTGCCTTCATTTTGCCATTATTTGGGAGGTATTTCTGCTGCACCCTGTATTTGTGCTTAAATAAATGTAACAAAGCTGACTAGAATTTGAACTCAGCTCTCTGAATTCTCATTCTGAGATGCTATCCATTACACCACCCATACATCCACAAATTCAACATTAAATAATCCAACAATAGTCTAGTCGACTATTTACATTATTCGGACTATTGTCTTCATTTTTGTCGCCATATTTATTACAACGTTTTGCTCAAGGAAACATGGCAAAGTGGATAAAGGCGTTAGATCCAGTGAAAGGATCCAAAGAGTGTGAGTGGAGAATTTGGAGAGGGGAATTAACAGGAGATAACTGATAACTGACATCCATTAAACATAGCACATGGAACTAGAACAGTCTACCCCAGTGAGCGAAATCAAGGGTTCAGTTTGACATTCCAACCACCTGAAGAAGGCCACAGCCGAAACATTGTAATAAATATAGCAACAAAGATGAGGACAATAGTCCAAATAATGTAAATAGTGTACATAGTACCTCATCCCAGAAATATAGACAGATACTGAATAGCCTAGTCGATTAATGTATTGGTTTGTGAATTTGGCGATATAATAATTGGGATTTCAATCTCTAGACCAGGCAGTGTGTACTTGGGGAAACAGGATGAGAAATAACTAAAAGTTAATCTAATGCCATATCTTTGTAACTAATTATAATCAGTTAAGTAAACTTTGCACACATGATTACAAAATGTCCATCTAATATAAATAATTTTTTTGTTATCTTCCAGAGTTTGTTATTAGCGCCTTTTGAATGTGAGCAACTTTCACTGGGTTACTCCAACCGATCAGCAGCTCTTTACCATCTTTCAGAATATGAGGTAAGTCAACTCATCACGATTGGTTTTTGTATTTGGAATGTATTAATAGTTATTGCTAAAAGAGTCTATCAAGCTTTAGATGAGAATGGTGAAGCTCAGGCTTTAGATATCTCAAAAGCATTCTTGTCAAAATAAATCCTTTCAATGGCCAGAAGTGATTCTGATGTCCTCTCTGATTTAGTCTTCCCATTTCTTAGGTTGTTTATCAAATGGCTTTGTGATCAGAATGCTATGCTAACAATTCATCAATATTCAGTAAACTACATCTGGCACAAGGCCTCTAATCAGGAGATTGAAGGTTTTGAGGGGGTGTGGAACCACGTCTTAATTGCTGTTATTCCCAGATCCACCCTAACCTGTGGTGGTAGCACCTGTTAGGGTCCCAGCTATGGGTAAATATTGAACCCCAAACAAAAACAAATAATTATCTGTCTATATTTATGAGATTAGGTATTGTAACTATTTATACTATTTACATTATTCTGACGGTTGTCTTCATCTTTATTGTTATATTCACAACGTTTTGGCCATTGTATTCTCTGGTCTTCTTCAGGTGATATATGCTGTGGATATGACAATGAAGATGAAGACAACATTCCAAACAATGTAAATAGTGTAAAAGCAAATTGCTATAAAAGTATAAAAATGCCTATTTATAGTAAAAGTACCAACAATACCTAGGCTATTTTTAGGAAAAAACATTAAATTACACAATGGGTTGATACGTTGTTAAACAAGCAAACAATTCTGCAAAATTTATAAGCTCTGTTGGTGCAGTTTTTAATTTTTATTTTTTATTTTTGTTTGCTTACCTTTTAACAGTTCATTTTAAGACACTCTTGTTATTTGAATAAATTACTATTGTCAAATTTAAATGTCACTATATGAAGTTGTTGGCCTTTGTGTACAGAATGTCTCTTTTAATACAGTGCTTCCCAAACATTTTTCTTTGGATCACATTTTCAAAATGAAAATTTGCTCACACATCACCAAATTTTATGTAATAAAATTACATTTAAAAATAACAAACAGAGAGAGGGTTAAAGAGAGATAATCTTGGATTTGAAGTCAGAACATTATCATTGATAACTCTCTCCTCCAATTTGCGGACTCTACTTACTATATTCTTAATACTTGATATAATGCAAAAATATCACAATGATAAAATTACTCAATAATTATTTATAAGTATCTATACTGGGACTCATGCATGCAATTACAAGATATGCATAATAATATTTTAAATTTTGAAATTATATTTATTTTTGGCCAAGGAATTTTTTGAAACTGTTTCTAAATCTTTGATTATCTTTCAATCATTCTGCCTCACCTGCTATCCACTTACCAGGCACGCTGCATCATTTTGGGACCCACTGTTTTAGTAAGTGCTGCTAATAATTAAAACAAAAATAGATAAATCTAACAATTAATATGGAACAGATAATACTCTGCTTTAATTAAATTCTCTTTTCTATTAGGACTGTCTTGCGGATATACAGCAGACTTTTCTCTGTCAACATATTCCAGATCATCTTCATGCTAAGCTGACTTTACGCAAAGGCCAATGTCTTTTTCACCTTCAACGATACCAAGAAGCTATAGATGGTAAGTTTAAATTAAAATATTAGAATGGTATTGCTTGTAAGAATAGCAAATTTATTTGTAGTTTTGAAGTATATGACATAGGTTGTTGATACATAATTTTTTAATAAGTAACAAAAATGTTATCTAAATAAATAAATATATAGTGTAAGTAAAAAAAATCTGCATCTGATTTCTTTTTAGTTTTAATTTTTTAAAATAAAACGATAGGTTTAACCAAAAAGATATTTTTTTTAATTAACAGATCGTGACATTTATCAAAGAGATGAAATTAAATTTTTTATTATTGCATTATTCCAAAATTTATAACACATCAGCAGATAGAAATTAATGTCAACAAATGAGCACAAATAGTTATTAATTAAAAAAATTACTAATTAATGTATAATATTATTCTTAACTACATGTACAAGAATGTCATTTTTGATAAAAGTTAAAAAATAACCATAAATATGTAAAAAAATGTGTATATTGTCGAAAATTCCTTTTCCACAATATAGCAATTTCTGCTATGTTATAATGCTTATTACCAAAACATACATAGGCACAAGCAAGTTTTATGAAAAAGAACCAACCAGGTCTATCTGTTTAATTTTTTATGCTATTTTTCCAATTGTCGAATAAGTTGTTGAGTATTGTGATGGAAATTATGAATAAATTGCTCCAAGTTTATGTTGTGTTGTTGATTTACAGACCACAACACCCATCAGAAAGATGAAATTTAAATTGTTATTATTGCATTATTCCAAAATTTTAACACATCAGCAGATTTAACTGAATAATTTTTTAACATATCAGCTGATAGAAATTAATGTCATCAAATGAGCACAAATAGTTATTAATTAAAAAAATTAGTAATTAATGTATAATATTATCCATAACTACATGTACAAGAATGTCGTTTTTGATAAGTTAAAGAATAACCATAAATATGTAAAAAATGTGTATCTTGTCAAAAATTCCTTTTTCCACAATATAGCTATTTGTGCTATGTTATAATGCTTATTACCTAAACAATAATAATACTGAATAAATTCTTTTAAACATTAAAGTGTATTTAATCACATCTCACTAATAGCTGTCGCAATCTCTAAATATGATGATTATTATCCAGTGATATAAGCAGTTGCAGCTTAATTAGCAGAGAGGTTAGGTTTAAAATTCCAAGTTCACTACAGCAAACAATGGCCTAGTGGATTAAAGCATTGGTTTGTGAATTTGGTGAGTGTGAGTTCAATCCCTGAGTTGAGCAGTGTGTACTTACACTCATTGCAAACAGGCGCACAATAACTGAACTGTATTAAATAAAAATAAGAACTAGACGACATGCCTAGACATGATCAGTGGAATGAGAAGAGACTGCCATAGATTAAATAAAGAGTTCAATTCAGAATTACCTCTAGGTTACACAGATCGATATACACCTGAAGAAAGGAGGGTATAATGGTCGAAATGCTGTGATAGCAAACAACAAAGTAAAGTAGTTGAAATAGAAAAAGCGTAAATAATAACAGGCAGGGAACATTTTTAGGCTTGAATATCTTGTTCCTTCATGAATTTTAAAAGATATAACCATTAAGTTTCTAAACAACTCCTTTCTGTTTTTGCCTGACATTTTCTAAAGAATTACAAGAGCATATATATGATCAGAAACTTTGAGGCATTTAAAAAGAAAATGTTGATTTGTTGTCATTTTAGAAGTGGGGGGGTCTTGTTCATGACATTGATGCAGTTAAAATCAGTCCTTGACTTTTTACAGTTATTGGACTTAACTCTTCTGCATAAGAAAATATTTTGTTTTAAAGTTTATTTAAAGAACAAATGGATATATATATTTTAATAAAAGTACCAAAACTTACATACCACGTATACTCATGTATCATGCAACTTGTAAAGACCTAATTTTGAACTTAATTTTTAAGTGTGTGTGTATTTCGCATCATACACAAGATATAAAATTAGTATATGTACTGCCAGCCCTGGCTACACCATTGACCAAACTATATATCCATTTACTGTAGTTAAATTAGCTTCAAAATTAGGTGTTCAAAAGTCACATGATATGTGAGTATATACGGTAAATTAATAAAAGTATATATCCGTTTATTTTTCATATAAGATAAATAAATATTATTTCCCAATGTTTGTGCATGTACTTGTTGGAAAAATCACAAATTCCTGTATCTCTTTATCTTTAATTGTTCAGTAAACTGATAAGTTAGAAGTATAGAGTGAAAGAATTTAAAAGAGAAAATCATAGAAGTTTCTGTTGTTACTTATTTACTATTGTTCTGGGCATGATGATAAACAACATCTGGCAGCAAGGCCTCTAATTGAAAGCTTTTGAGGAGTGTCGAACCACATCTTAATTGCTGTTGTTCCTAAGTCCAACTTGACCCAGGGTGATAGCATCTGTTAAGGTCCTAGTTATGGGCAAAAGTGAACCCCCAAAATGGGATCAAAACATGAAAATATGAAAATACATTAGAAAAAAATACCAGCAATACATTTTCATAGTAAAAAGAAATAAAAATTATCAGCAATACAATTTTTGAAAAAAATACCAAAGCTCTCAAGAAAATAAAAATCTGGCATTAAATGACCCATAAGGTGTTGATATGCAGTTAAACCAACCAAACCAAACTTACTAAGTATAGCTTAGTTTTGACACAAGGCCACAAATATGGTGTACCCGGTAAGGTTTGAACTCACAATCTACAAGTCAAGCTTGATTACCATAGCACTACAATAAGGTGCTTTTAAAACTTACTAAGACTGTCTTTGTTTTGTAGCCAAAAATATGAAGAAAAACAAAGTTTATTTTTCTAGTGATTTTCTTTTCATATTTTGTGTTGTTTTTTTAATAATTCAAAATTTAAAATTATTATTTTATAATAATTTAAAAACAATATGGCAGTGAAATTGAGATCTCCGCAGTAGTAGAAGTGATATTACCAGTAGCAGTTGCCTACACAAGTGAACACACAAACACAGTAGATCCATTTTGTGTTTTTGCTGTACTCACTTCTCTTTTTGCTTCCTTTAGCATGGCAAAACCAACAGACAGAAAAAGTGACAACAGCTTTTATACAATAACAGAGAGTAACCTGATCACAGAATCTTAAAATACCTGAGACAACAATTTGTGACATCATTAAGGCAATGTTATTTTGTTGAAAATTCATCTTTTGTCATATGAGTTTCTTATATTTGGGAGTTATGACCACATGCATCAGACATTCATTATTATTACTTTTTTTTTAATTATTTTATTTATTTATGATATGTCCCAGAAAGAGATATATTTGATCTAAGTAGCTAAGTGGGTTTTGGCTACTGTAACCAAGTAGTACACAGTAACAGTAATCGACTGGTACTCGTCGTAGCCGCAGGTAATAAGTGTAGACTAATAGGATAACCAATGGTGTAGTCCAATGGGCGTCGTCATAGACTTAAACTCTGTCGTACCTACATGTTCGTCTGTATTTATGACTGACACCAGCCAATCATATTCCAGTGAGGGGGTACTCAGGTGTATGCATATTTCATTATATCAATTTATTTTTTTTTTTTTCAGAGTTCCTTCATGGAAAGTCATTACTTGAAAAGTCATTATCCAGTGAGAAAATAAAAGGTTAGTTTTGTTAATTTCCATGTTTCTGGGACTTTAAATGATCAAAGATAAGTGCAAGTTTTTAAAATTGTAAACAGTCACTGTCCAAATGAGCAAACAGCAGAATTTTTTCAATCCATTCTTAATCAGACTGACAATTTTTCATTACCTCCTCGTGTTATAGATTCTATCATAATCAATTGTGCCATGTTGGGCTCACATTTTCTGCTGATATGAAGTAGAAAATCTATATTGAATTCATTGCTAGGTCAGTTGCTAAGAAAGTTGGTTCACTATATCAAGTAAGACAATTTTTTTATCCAGAATCTATCTTACATATCTATAAGTTTACTATTCATTCATGCTTAGAATATTATTGCCACATATGGTCTGGTGCCCCTGCTATTTACCTAAAGTATCTTGATAAGATCCAAAGAAGAATCTGCAATATTATTGGTCCTGATCTGGTACCTCAGCTTCAGTCACTTTCTCACTGTTGTAAGGTTTCTTTTCTATGTCTTTTCTATAGATACTTTCATGGTAATTGTTTGTATGAGCTCTTTGCTACGGTACCTAGAATTTTTTAATTTAAGTGCAGCACTAGACTGGCATCGAGATCTCAGCAATTTACAGTTAAGCTGGATAAATGAAACCGTAAATTCTATGCTAACAGTTTCTTCTCTCTCTCACTTCTTGCTCGTGAAACTCCCTCTTGGCTCCATGCTTTCCAGCCAACTTTAATCTTCAAATATTTAAATGCAATGTCACTTTCTATCTACTGTCCTCTTGACTACTCTCTTTTCTTTCTGCTCATCATTATTGTTTCTGTTTCTAATTGTTCCACATCCTGTAACCCCTTGCGTCTTAGTGGCTTTACTGCCTTGCATGTGGTGATACCGATTTAAAAAAAAAAAAAGTACCTAATTTAAAAAGATCAAAATTTGTGTGTCTCTACTGAAAACACTGAAGATTAAATATAAACTTGGTTGTCTGTTTGCATGTGTGTATGCAAATATTAATTGCAACTGGTAAATACTGTTTTATTATTTATGTCTATTAGCATGTGTTTTATATCTTGCCCAACTTAGTTCTTGCTTAATGAAGATAACTAATTTGCATATTTGTTGATTATTATGCTTAAGGATCCTATCATGAGAGCTATGCAAATCATTTGTAGAAGACCTGAGTTTAAAACATTGTGAGTTTTAGTATATTATGATTGGTATATTACTAACAAGGATACCTGGTATTGTACAGAGAAAGTGACTTTGCTCTACACAGTTGAGAGACTTGTGTCAGTTTTGAAATGCTATTAACAAAATTATTGTAATTAAAACAGTTCAATAGGTTGGAAGATTTTGATAGTCATTTATTTCATATTAAGTAATAAGTACTGGTTGGCGGATTTATTACCTTGAACAGCTACTAGAATGTGTAGCTGATTCCTGTTGCAGATGCCTGCTCAGGTATATTTATGTTTCTTCAGCACCCGCAGAGCATATGGTTTATACTGCAACTATGCTGAGCATAGTTAAAGTTTCTTGGAGAGGGTGAATAATCTGGCATGTTATGGTAGTTAGACAAGGCCAGTATACTGAAACCCTCGGTCATGATGACTTGTGATTTTGCACTAACACAACTATTGATGTCTTCTGAACAGATTTGTCTACTCAATTCATCTTGGGTCAATCTATGGTATGATTTTTCAGTCATTTCTCAGTTATATTGTCTACTGGGGTCATCTCCTCAGGTTGATTTTATTAAGGCACTTCCTTTACAAATCGACCATGTTGAGATTTGAATCCAGGTTTCATGTTCAGAATGCTAATGTAGTAACCACTTTAACATCTACTCATTATATAATATACAGCATGGTATAATATTATAAATTATAATATTTGTGAAATTTTTAAAATATAGTCTTAAAAAATGTCCACACTGCTTACTTTCATTTAAGTCCAAAGCTGTGATTTAAATACTGAGATCATTACCACTTTCATTCAGAAAATGTTTTTATTTGAATAACTGCCCAATTATAATGTTCATCAATAAAAGAATCACTTATTTAAAAAGATTACAAAAGATCAGATTTGAAACGAGTAAAAAAAAAATAGTTGTTTTCAAAAAGAAAGTTGTTTTAAAGTTGAATTAGTGATCTCTATTAAGTTAATCAACTTTTAGATATGTTCCATTTAAGATGCCTTCACAAAATCTTAAAGATGTCCTGAAAAGATAGAATCAAGGACGAGGAATTGCTGTGATTGTTAAGCAGAGTGCCTTTCTTTCATCTACACTGAAAAAGACAACATACGTGCTCACTAAAATTTAGCACAGTTTCATTTACATACCAACCACTTGACTATCATTGAAACTCTGTAACTCCTCACCAACCCCTAGGACAAGGGTCGGCAACCTACAGCCCGCGGACCGAATCTGGCACACAAAGGCATTTTGACCAGCCTGCAAGCCTCATTAACAATGACTATTTTTAACATGAGAGACGAGGCTTTCGAATTCGACAAAAGGCCTGCTGTTATCTCAGTGGACTAAAAATATTAGACTATCTGCAAGTTACCTTTCATGAGACTTATTTTACCAAGTTGCGTTGCCTACGTTTAGTGTCAAATAATGGATACATATTTGTTATGACCCTTGGCTAAATTAAAAGAAAACAGAAGCGAAAGGAACGATAAAGTGAAAGAGGCCAGGGAGGGACTGGCATGTGAGGTAGCAGAAATCTAAAGACAGTTAAACATACGCGCATTATACATACATGCCTCATGAATGTGTGGATGATACCGTATGTGTACGTACGTAAGTGTATATGTTTGCAACTATTTGTACTCATGTGTATGGGTATATGTGCTTCGTTTTTGTTTGATGTGTGTGTGTGTGTGTGGTTCATTTGTGGAACAATTTTCAATAACATTTCAAACCTACACGTCATAATTTCATCCATTCACTTCGGTTGATTTTTTTCACTTTTAAGTATTTTGACGTTCAGTGAGGAAAAGTAATTTTTGTTAGGTGTTTTTTAATTTTAGATTTTCTTTTGTTTTTCTGATTTCTCAATGTTTATTTTCATTATGGTTTTAAATATTTAGGTTGACAGGGGTCTGCATATTTTATTTCCCTTAATTTTTCATTAATGGCCATCGTCCGGCCTGTCATTATAACAATCCGGCCTGCGGGGTAGAATGAGTTGCCAACCCCTGCCCTAGGAGGTCGCTTGGATCCTGTTTAACTCTTTGCTTTCTATCAGTATCCAGAAAGCCAGCCATTTTTTTTATTGATGTTTTTTACAGGTTATTTAAAGCCAGAAAATATTTTTTTAGATTGTAAAAATTTTTTTAAGATAGTAATTATTTAATGATACAATTCTTACTAATTAACCTATCTGGCAGGAGAAAAGATAGTCTGAATAATGTAAATAGTCTACATAATACCTCATCTTAGAAATATAGACAGATACAGAAAAGATGGATTCATACCTTTCCTAAAGTTATTTGCACTTAAGTGAATATAATGAACCCAATTTGAACTTGCTTCTCTCAATTAACAATTCTGAGCCATTATCCATTACACCACCTGCACATCCAAGCTTATAGCCATTTTGAAAGAGTATTGTTGTCAGGAAACTCCACAACTTTTTTTTTTCCTTCTGGACTTATAGATTAAAAAAAAAAAAAAGCAGAGAGAAATTTAATACTATTAAAAATATTACTTTTGATTGACCTTGACTGACCTTCATTTATTACTTTCCATTTTTTATTCTAATTTTACCGTGCAGAAAATTTTCTATGACTAATCCCAAATAAATTGTTGCTATTTTTCCAAGGCAACAGGAAAAAATAAATTAATGCTTCACCACCACTAATTAATTCTCCAATGAATTATTATAGAACAGTTTCAGCTTTAGGGACCCATTAATTTAATCAGTTTTATCTCTAGCCAGAATATGGCAATGATCATATTTTTGCTAATTAGTCTTTGGGGTTTAAACAAAATGAATTGAAGTGAAGAGCATGTACCAATTCCTGGATTGAAAATAATATGTTGAGCCTTGATTCCTTTCTTTCCCAGTGTACCAGTTGTAGAGATGTTAGAAATCTGACCCCAACCAAATACAATTCCTCGATTTCTATCTCTTTTCCTCTCACAAATTCCACTGCTTCTGCTTGGTACTCAAAAAAAAACCAGCAACTCTCACTACCTGGGTGGGTGGGGGGTATATAAACATTTTTTTTCTCCCTCCCGCTACAATGCCTTTGTCTGTGTCCATAAAATACCCTTTCTTCATTCACTTATTTTCTCTGAAGATGTTCACGTAAGTAGAACTTCTTTCTCTGCTCATTCATTCAAACTGCAGTCTTATTCCTTTTCATTGCAATTTTATGCTTATTTTTCATATTTGCAGTTGATAAAGATTCACAGATTTCACAATTTGATAAGTGGATAAAGAAAGTAAAATTAAAACAGTAAGTAATTTTTATTTTCCTACACTGACTTGTTTTCTGCTAAGCCTTGTATGTCTTGTTATGATTTATGTTACATTCACAAATTTAAAAGAGAATCAAGGAAACACCAAGTCATTTAGGTTATTTGGTGTGACTTACTTCACAAGATATTACTGAGATATTACTGTATCTTTCCAATTGTGGAAATTTCAGGAACTTATTGGTTAGCACTACAAAAGACACAGAATCCATTTCGGGCGGTTTTTTTTTGTTTTTTTTTTTTTTGTTTTTGTTTTTTTTACAAATGTTGATTATTTATAATATTTTACAACAAACTCAGATCAAAAGTTTTACCGAACTAAATATTTTATATATCTATTGTTAGACCTACATAAAAGCTAATTGTATTTAAATCAAGAGTAGGGTGCTTGACACCCCTGCTGATTAAAAGTGGTTCAATCATGTAGTTGTATTTATGCTCTGACAATTTCCACTTTTGTCAGTTTTTGTGTCACTTTAAACTAGAAATTACTGTATCTATGTATGTTTGTTTGTTTACATTTTGCAACTACAAATGTAAATGAGTGACACTGGGAATTTAGAAAAAAATTGTAAAAATTCATCTTTAAATTAAAATTCCCAGCATCTCTCATGTAGTCACATCAACATGAACTTAGTCCAATGAAGTCATAAAAATATATATATATATATATATATATATATATATATATATATATATATACTTACCTAGCACATGTCAGAGGGTATCCCAGACGAGGCTATACCCGAAGGGCAGAGTTTCGTCTTGGGAAAGTGACTCTATTTTTACGTGGTCTATAGTGTGTCACATCTTGCTGTGTATGGGGCAGCGGGTAAATAATTATATATATATATATATATATATAATGAAAGTACAATAATCATTTTAATATATTTTCTGTTTATATGTTATTTTTATAGATACAAGTATTTAAGTAAATGCTCTATTTATAATAAGCAGTATTAACAACATTTACCAGCCTGAATGTCTGAGAAATGGAAAATATGTGTCCTCCGACAGGAATCGAACCTGTATCCTACACGGAACTGTCATATAGCCTGATATGCTATATCATTTAACTACAGAGGAAGCATCTGGTTAGCAAATTAAAAATTTGTATCTATATTTGTTTACATTTGTAAAAATAATACACTAGAATTTCCCTTTCCCTCTTCTGTGCACTGATAGCTTAGGGACAGAAACTCCAACTGATGTCAATTCAGTCAGGTTTCAATCCTGGCTTGAAGCAATCAGATGTCTAGCCACACTGATGAACTGTGATGCAGCAAAACAGGCCTGTATGTGGATTTTACATACATACATATATATATATATATATAAGTATATAATTGGTATATACGGAATGAATTCCAATAACCAACAATTACTATTCTTAAAAGAGTGCTCAATACAAAGTAGAGCAGATACAATTATTATTTATAAAAAATTATAACATAAGTATGTTATAAAATCACTACAAAAATAGCCATTTTGTTTCAACACACTCGGTTTTTTTTTATAAATAATAATTGTATTTTTTTATAAATAATAATTATATATATATATATATAATCCACATACAGACTGTTTCTCCCCATTTTTTTGTATACACACACACACACACATATATATATATATTCATACATGTTTCATTAAATAATATAGACAAGTGTTGTCTATTTATTCTATGTAAATTCTTTTCATAACGTCTGATAAGCTTAATAACATTACCATTAAATGAAGAAAGAACATTACAATATTGATACATATTTTTTTAATCCAATCTAAGCTTTCAGCTTACATAATCCATTATCAAAGATGACAATTACAGTACAATATATTAAGCAATATACGAACAAGACAGTGATGATAGTCTGTTTCTGTTTACATGGATGATTTCCAAGCAACGATAAACATATGCATATAAGACACTAGAATAAATAGACAACACTTGTCTATATTATTTAATGAAACATGTATGAATGAAAAAATGCTGCCTAAATACACACAATATATATATATATATATATATATATATATACAAAAAAATGTGGAGAACAGTCTATCTGTAGATGAAAAAGAAGGGAATAGCAACAGCAATTTCTTGTTCAAAGTGACAACCAAACATCTAATACAAAAACTGACAAAGGAGAAATTGGCAGAGTATAAATACAGATCCAGGATTGAACCAGTTTTAACCAGTCGGAGTGCCAAGCCTCCTGTTGCTGATTTTAATGTAATTATCTTCTATGTAAATCTAGTATTTAAGATTATACAATAACAAAAGTAAACAGAAGATCAAAAAGCCCAAACTGGAAAGTCAAGATAAAAAATTTTCATTTTGAACAATCCTGCCATTTTTATTTTCCAAGTATAATTCTCTGTTCGTCTTGTCCGATTTTTTAAGTAAAGTAAGTGTAAACTCCATTTCTAACACAAAACACCAACTCAGTAGCAAAGAAACAAATTTCTTTCTTATTGTTTGTCTATGTTGTCTACTCTCACTTCATCCAGCATCCTCATCCTCCTTCACTCTCTTCACAAGAATAACAAAATCAACCTCCACCTCTCCATGTCTTGGTTATTTTATCATAATCATCAGCCTTACCCACAATCACTCTATGCCCTCTGGCCATGGTTCCTATCTCTCCCACTAAACTTTTTTTTTTAGTTTCCTTGATTCTCAGTTCCTGGTAGGTAAGACATTTTTTTTTGTTCAAATTACACATTACCTTGATTTACAGATACCTGAAACAGGCTGAGGGAAATAATGGCTGAAACAAGATAACAACAACAAAGATGAGGACAATAGTCCAAGTACAAACGATGTATTAATAACTCTTCATTCCAGAAATTTAGGGAGAAATTAATATTTTTTTTGTTTGCTTTATTTTTTCTCTCTACCCTTTTGTATAAACTTCATATCTTTCCCAGTGAACAATATAACTTCAAAACACCTGTCATCACCAGCAACAATTCTGACAATAGTGATAGTCTTCCCATGGTCAGTTACGGTCCAAATGAGGTTGTTGTCAAAGCGTCCAGTGCTGTGAAACTTTGCAACAATGCAGACAGTAGAGGACGTCACTTGTTGGTAAGTTACCTAATTCTTTTAATTCTGTCCCAGGTGCAGTCACCCAGAAATGCATTATCTTCCTGCAACTGAAAAAAATTCTTGTTTTAAAGAAATTCTTGTTTTAAGAAAACACCAGTTTGATAATGTTAATGCTCTATACGATCACCATTTCTCAACCAGTGTGTCTAGGCACACTAATGTGCCCTGAAAGGTAGTCTGGGTGCACTCCAAGTTAACAGAAGAATAATTTATGAACTATTTTTATATTTAAAAAAAATCTTTATTTTTAAAAAACTAGAGACACCAAGTACATGGGTTCCATGTCTAAGTCAATTGACATTTCAACTGATGATGTTGACTTATCATTAACAAAAAAAAAGAGCTGGCGACTAGATCTATTGATTGTGCTTGATAAATCAAGCATAAAGAGGTGTCTTGATCAATTCGGGATTTTCATTAAAGAATATCTTTCAGTAGCTAATAAAGCACTATTTACATTATTCTGACTATTGTCCTCATCTTTGTCGCTATATTTATTACGTTTCAGCCGTTGTATGCGCCAGCCTCCTTCAGGTGAACTGAACCCTTTATTTCGCTCACTGGGCTAAACTGTCCTAGTTCCACATGCCATGTTTTAATGGATGTCAGTTATCAGTTATCTCCTGTTAATTCCCCTCTCCAAGTTCTCCACTGCCTTAACCAGGTATTGAACTCACACTCTTTGGGTCCTGTCAGTGGATCTAACGCCCTTATCCACTGTGCCATGTGTGAAGAACAATGCAAATAGTGTACTTTTTTTTAATATTAATTTTTGCAAGTAAATTTGTAATTGGGCTATTTTTTTTTTTTTAATCATTTCATCCCAAGCAAGGCATTAAAGCCACTAAGATGCAAGTTCTCCACCACCTTAACCAGGTATTGAACTCTTTGGGTCCTGTCACTGGATCTAACTAACACTATTATCCACTGTGCTATGTGTCCTTGATACTTCATCTCAGATACAATAATTGACAACTGTATCAAGACATTTTTGAAAAGAGTAAAGAAAGAAACAAAGTTGTATTTAGTGACAGTTCAGTCCAATTTTCAGACGATGTCTTTGAAATACTTTCATACCTTGTGAATGTCAGAGCGAAAGGAAAAATGTGTTGTGGATCTCAAAGTCAAAGGATAATGAGGGAGAATCAGTTATGTGCCATACGTGATACACACTTAAGCGATCATGTATCATGTACACTATTTACATTATTTGGACTATTGTCCTCATCTTTGTTGCCATATTTATTACAACATTTCAGCCGTTGTACGCTCTGGCCTTCTTCAGGTGGTTGGAATGTCGAACTGAACCCTTTATTTCGCTCAGTGGGGTAGACTGTTCTTGTTCCACGTGCCATGTCTAATGGATGTCAGCTATCAGTTATCTCCTGTTAATTCCCCTCTTCAAGTTCTCCACTGACTTAACCGGGTATTGAACTCACACTCTTTGGGTCCTGTCATTGGATCTAACTAATGTCTTTATCCACTGTGCCATGTGTCCTTGAGGACATCTGTGTATGTGTAGGAAATAACTGATAACTGAAATCCATTAGACATGCCACGTGGAAGTAGAACAGTCTACCCCAGTGAGCAAAATAAAGGGTCTATTTCAACATTCCTACCACCTGAAGAAGGCCAGAGTGTACAATGGCCGAAATGTTGTTATAAATATGCCGACAAAGATGAAGACAATAGTCCGAATAATGTAAATAGTGTACATAATACCTCATTTCAGAAATATAGACAGATACTGAAGAAGGCCGGAGCGTACAACGGCTGAAACGCTGTGATAGATATGGCGACAAAGATGAGGACAATAGTCCGAATAATGTAAATAGTATACATAATACCTCATCTCAGAAATATAGACAGATAGCTAGTAAAGCATTGAGTATTTTCTTCCAATTTTCCACATCATACCTCTGCGATTTCAGATTTTCTGCACTTACCAACATTAAATGCAAAATTAGATCAAGTATTAAGGGCATTGATGTGAAAATGAGTGTATGTTCATTATATATTAAACCTAACATTAATAAAATTGTCAAATCACATCAAGTAGAGGCTTTACACAGACTTACTTCTTAAATATACAATGTATTATCTTAAAAATAAATGCTTTTTCAAGAGACGTCTTTATTATTTTCTTGTTATTTTCTTTTTCGAATTCTTCCTTGATAAAATTTAAAAGTGCACTTCAGAGTTTTAGTTTTTCTAAAAATGTACCCTAAAATAAGAAAAGTTTGTGAAACACTGGTATAGGTTGTAAGTCTCAGTTCAGAGAATAGCATTGGTCATCACAAAAATTAAGCATGATAAGCAAGTGAAAAAAAGTATCATCTACCAAAGTAGATGCAACAGGCCTGAGTGCCTGTGAATTGTTGAATATAATTAACAAATTATCTATCAGGAGAAGGTGAGTTATTTTCTTATCGAAGGAGTTTCTCTTTTTTAAAATGTTATTGAGAATTTTTGTCTCTAAGAGAACACATTGTCCTGAAACTGCACAGAGTTGAAAGTCTATTTCTCACTCACTTCATATCTCTCTCCTTCACTGACAAGTAGTAAAAATTCCATACTGTGGACAATCAAAGAAGCCAATTCAGATTTCAGAATTGGTTCATGAATTTGGTAGCATAGTAATTGTGAGTTCAATCCCTGAGCTGGGCAGTGCGTAATTGGAGCCAGTGGAAATGGGGTGAGTAATTTTAAATAAAAAATAGATGGGATATTTCTAGACATTGACAGTGGAATGAGAACAATCTACTCCTGTAGATTAAATAAAGTGTCCAGTTTGAAATTCCCTAAAGGTTACTCAGATCAACAAGCATCTGATGAAGGCTGGAAGGCACAATAGCCGAAACGTTGTGATAATAACAACAAAGATGAATAGTTTGAATTATAAATAATGTAAATAATGATAACTCTTCATTCCAGAAAGACAGTTATTTTCAGTTCAGCTTAATTATGAGGCACATTGACTTTAGATTTCTGTCCTTTGCTTTTCGTTTTTATTAGGCACAGCACAAAATCAATGCTGGAGATGTGCTGATTGTAGAAAAACCATACGCAGCTGTCCTTTTGCCTGAGAGTTCTCTGACCCATTGCCATAATTGCTTTGTCAAAGTGTCTTCTCCAGTTCCGTAAGTATTTGTAAGCTTTTTTAAGTAAAAATGATTAACTGGCATTGAAAAAAAATGGCTTTCATGATTATGATTATTACTGTGGTTTAAATAAATGAATAAAGAAAGTAGAAACACTTGCCTTAATAACAGAAGAGAAACTAAATAAATGAGGGAGAAAGTTTTTAGAGACAAAGGCCAGAGCATTATGGGTAACAAATGTTACTTTAATGTTTTTTTTTTTTATCTTCCATCATGCAGAAAGGCTTACAGCTATATCATGTTAAAACACCATTTCTCGTCTGCTGATCGAAATTAAGCAATGTCAAGCCTGGTCAGTACCTAGATGGGTGACCACTTGGGAATACCAGTTGCTGTAAGGTTGGATGTGTGGGTGGTGTAATCTATAATGGCTTGGAAAAGTTTGAATTTTAGTTGGGCTCGATGTATTCACTTATAAGCAAATACACTTGGGAAAGGTATAAATTCTTCTCTTCTTCAGCTATGGGTTAAATAATTAAACTTGTATTAGAAAATCAGTATTTATTATTTACATTATTCAGACTATTGTCCTCATCTTTGTCACCATATTTATTACAATGTTTCAGCCGTTGTATGCTCCGGCCTTCTTCAGGTGATTGGAATGTCGAACTGAACCCTTTATTTCACTCACTGGGGTAGACTGTTCTAGTTCCACGTGCCATGTTTAATGGATGTCAGTTATCAGTTATCTCCTGTTAATTCCCCTCTGAAACAGGAGATGACTGATAACTGACATCCATTAAACGTGGCGTGTGGAATTAGAACAGTCTTACCCCAGTGTGCGAAATAAAGGGTTCGGTTCAACATTCCAACTACCTGGAAAAGGCCGGAGCGTACAATAGCTGAAATGTTGTAATAAATATGGCAACAAAGATGAGGACAATAGTCTGAATAATGTAAATAATGTACATAATACCTAATCTCAGAAATATAGACAGATACCAAAATCAGTATTATCTCCAAAAAATTCTAACAATCCAAAAATATGTTTTAGCTTTAAATAACCATGATAAGCCATGAATAAAACATTCAATCAATCCATTGTGCTGAAATAGCTTATGATTTATGGTGTACCAAAATAAAAAAAAAATTTTTTAAATATTACAAAAAATAAAGAATTCAAATTAAAATAAGGCATTTGCTTTCCTCTAAAACCCATATCTCTTTTTTCTCTCTCTCTCTTTACCCTTCCCTCTCTATACTTCTCTCTCAATTAATGAGCAGGCAACCCTCAAATAAAAATAGGATGAACCTATATCAAAACTGATTTGGGAGGATATTCCACCTGCCTATCATATTAGTTCTGTAATTTATCAATTTAGATGTCAGTGTGATGCTGACTATATAGGCAGAACCGTTGGAAGCACAGATCAACCAACGCATACCAGCCAACAATGGCTAGGAAAAGGTGAACAATTTACATATGTGCATTAGTGTAACAGGTTCAGTGATAGATGAATATTTGATTAAAGGTAAGCAGTCTATGTGGTCTTATAGCCCAGACATGTCCTCAGTACTGAGTAGAGCTAATTCTGATTATCACTTGAAAGTGTTGGAATTTGTTTACATTAAGTCCTGGCAGCCATCTCTCTGTAAGCAGTTGTTAGTGGGCTTAAAGGTAATTAGCTTTTTGTTATATTTTCTTGCATATAGCATTTGTCTCAGGTAGTATGCTATTTTGTCACTGTGCATATTTTTGTCCTCAGTTTTTAGTCTGATGTAAGAGGACTAATAAACTGTTTTTTTTTGTCATATTTAGGTATTACCATTTTTATGATAATAAATATATATTTTTTACCCCTTCTTTTTTGTGATGTGCTGCTTTTTAATATATCTGCTTTTATTCTAGTATTTATTGTGCTTCAGTATATCTATTTATACCTTCAGATGTGCCTTTTGTTGTACTGTTCAGTATTGCTGCCAAAAGTGTCGCGAGATTGCTTGGAACTTACATCATTGGGTAGAATGTCAATATATGACTTTATTACATTCAGTAAGTTGTTGGTTGACATGTTGTGTTTTTGACTAAAGCCTTTTTTTTATTATTTAGCATTCAGAATGAATGTTAACTTTCTTTCTCTCTTTCATAGCTCTCAAAATAGCTGAGAATCTCCCAAAAATGTTTTACCATTTTCTACATTTTTTAAAACATTTTATCAGTATATACTGTTCATCTTGTTTGAGATCAAAGTTATTAATAAGCTATTAATATATTTCTTAATTTATAATTGAAAGTCTCTCAAGTGTTATGCAGGGTGTGTCCGTAAAGTCTGGACACATAGACAAAAATACATATATTCAATAGATTTTTATTGAATTGGAATATTAACAAATAACATCTTCAATATGATTTCCATCATTTGTGATGCAAAGGTTGATGCACTTTGCAAGATTCATGAGAATGCAAGGCAATAACTCTACATTGCCATCACTTTTAGTACATTTACTCTTTATGCATTCAATCAAGCCTATTGCATCTGTCATTTTCATTGAAGGTGTACTTCTACTTTAGCATACACCAGAAAAAAAAGTCTCATTCAATTTTCTTTTGACAAAACCATGTGGAGGTAAAAAAAAAATATATAGTTCATGAGATTTCCTGTGTGTCCAGACTTTAGGGACACACTCTGTACAAACCTTTGAAGCTGTTTCCTTTTTGTATCAATTTATTTTATTTATTTATTTTTTTTTTTTTTCAAGGTTGGCATTGCCCATTTGAGCCTTCGGATTATTTTAGTGACAGGACTCCAAAAACTTTTAGGTGAGACTCATTTTCCATTTGCATTAATTCCAGTAAAGGAACTGAGGAAAGTTTTATTGTCATTTTATATATAACAATAAATACGGAAAATATGAGGTAGATTTACAGATGATACATTTTTTTTTTAATTATGTCACCCCCAAGGAAGGCAATAATACAATTGAGATGCCAGGGTCTACTAAGAGTGAAAGACAATGCTAAGACTTTAATGAAAAGAAAACTACAGGATTCAGGAAGACAGATGAGAGTGGTCAACATTGTTTTTAAATTGTTGAAGATTGTAGCTGGCAGCAGAGTAAGAAACTGGTGGAAATTTCCACAGGCAAGAAGTGCAACTAAAGAAACTATTAGAATAGAACTCACAGTTACATTTAGCTATTATTTGATTATTATTATTATTGTTGATCATTTTCTAGAATGAGCTTTCAAATTTCATAGCAGGCAGCAAAACAGTCATCTGAAATTTAAGAATCTTCAGAACATTTGATATAATGTTGCTGATTGGTTTATAAATTTGAATGTAGAAATTGAAACCTGGAGCCTATGTTATGCACAAAAGTTGAGGTTTTTAGTAATATTATTTAAATCTAGGGAATTTTTCTGCAACTTTTAAAAGGTTCCACACACACACACACACAGTGTTGACATAGGAATAAGAATTGCATGCTAACTGTCAGTTTCACACTGCAAGCAATTTTGGTGTGAAGATTTTGACATGTAAGACTAAGAATCATTATGCAGTGTTGATTGCTATGTCCATATTGTTTGTATTGATAAACACTCTATCTATTAATATTGATCACTCATACACCATAATTTATAGTAAATTTTAGGCTGTGAATGTGTGTATATATATATATATATATATATATATATATATATATATAAAAATTTCTCAGAGTTAACCTGTAGAAAAAGACAATATTTATAAATGTAAAAGACAATAGGAAAACTAATATTAGCTGACGTGTTTTGTCCAATGTGGACTTTTTCAAGGCAAAAACGAAATGAATTTATTAAACAAAGTAACTAATAATAGCAATATGAAAATAGCGTTCTCTAAATTCTTCCAGTTGCTAAAGACATTTTGTTTTGTTATTATTAGATACTTTGTTTAATAAGTTCATTTTGTTTTTGCCTTGAAAAAGTCCACATTGGACAAAATGCGGTGGCTACCATTACAGTTTTCCTATTGTCTTTTATATATATATATATATATATATATATATATATATATATATATAGTATTAATGTTTATGCTATATTTATGGGTAAGAGTGCTCAGTATCAGCCATAGAGTCTATGTACATATAAAATTGGAAATTGAGGTCAACACCATTTGGCAACACCCTGTTTTGTGTGTGTATGCATGAGGAGGTGCTGAAAAGTTCTTAGCCCAATCCACTTTTCAAAATCTGACTAAACATCAGATTTTTTCAAGGGATACTTGGTCAGGCTGAGAACTTTCTAGATAAGTATGTAATGTTTACTCATTTAATTTTGACTAATTTCATCTATGTTTTAAATTGATTATAATCCGACTCTGGAAGTGTTACTTTTGAATTGATTTGTAAACATAAACATATTAGGCTACTTAATATATATTAGTATACAGGTGAAAACAAAAAGTGATAATTTATTAACAATCAAATATTTAATGCTGATTTTGGAATTTACACTGCACAGTCTTTTGTTGAATATGAAAATAATATAGGTCAGAAGTATAGAATGACCTTTTGGTGAGGTTTGAACTTGCCAAATTCCTTATTCTTGGAGATCTATCATATCAGGAGTGGCTGTGAAAATAAACCCATAAGAATCATTCAATTTCAAGATGAATGAAACTAGTCAACAGATTATAATAATGGCAATGCTACATCTAAGGATTTTAGACATCATAAGACTATAATTAATGATATTTAAAAATCAATGACCATTATGTTTAGAACTTGATAAAATAAATGTATCTGATCGTTTTGATTTTTTTAACATTTTCTCTACTTTTAGACTTTAAATCTAAGAAAGTCGACTCAGTGTGTCCAAAGAAAACTGCTGGTCTGACTAAAGCTGGCCAGTATGATGTGAACTATCTGTCAGTCTATATGTTGATGGCTCATTCCAATAACATGTTGGCTGAAGATCTTCTGCAATATGCAATGGTCAGTATAGCTTTTGTTTTGCTTCTTTGATGTGTCTTGTTTTTTGAATAAAAACTAAAATATGGTTTCTCTGCCTGAGTTTTAGAATGCTTTCTTTTCAGTGTTACGCCCGGGGTTTCTTTGGGACTACGATAGCCAGAACGCAACGAGAAAATAAAAAAAAAATAAGTAAGAGATCCCAAGGTTCAATATAAAAATAAAGAAAAGAACATTGGGAGGAGAATTCTCCAATTCCGGATGTCGGTAAATGCAGAGAGAAAATGAACTATACACAGACACAGAACAACAGAAGACAACACAAGAATATATAATACAAAGATTTTATTTCTAGAATACACGGAGTGTGAATGTAAGAAAAAGAAAAAGAAAACTAAATAATACAAGGGATGGGGAGATAAGTTACTAATTAAACAGATACTAATGCGGCGAAATACATATGAATATGGAGATAGCAGACTATAAGATATGGAAAAACATGCAGAAACTTACATAAGGTTGGAATCGATGTCGATTGACTATTATCGGGATACAATTTGTTCAAAAGGATATTCATACACTTCTCTGAAAGCAAAGGGTGGGATTGACAATGTTCTAATATGAATTTTTGACTGGCGACGTCCAATCCGGGTTGATGGTGAGGAGAACATACAGAAAAATCACGGGAGTTGATTGGGTTGACGATGGTGATCTAGATTCTTGTGTCAGTCCTTTGGTTTTTGGTGTCATCTAATTCTTCTGGCATCAAACAACGAAGTCTGGTTTTGGTGACAACTGCTTCTTCTAATGGCAAATAGCTAAGACTGGTTTTTGGTGATGTCCGACAGCCAGCAACTATGTGTGGTTGTTGTTACCTCAACACGTGCAAAATGAAAACTGCTATATGTTGAGTCACGTGTTGGCCCCCCAAAAAAAGGTATGCATCATTCACGGAACCTGTTAATGTCATCTGCACTTATCTGTCAAACAGCGTTCGTTTCAGCCAGTGACTATGGAACTGGCTAACATCATTCACACCTATCTGTCAAACAGTGTTTGTTTGGCCTACGCATCAGGGACCAGGCAGGAAATGGGGGTAGAAGGGAAGTTTCTTTTCCGAGAACTGGCCCTGACTCATCTGGGTATAAAAACAATATATATCTCACAATCTGCATATTCAAGAAATAAAGAAGTTAAGATTCATATGTTTCGCCGCAAATACAAAAGGTACTGAAAATATACTTATAAAATCTGAGGTGAGGGTACAGATATGGGGTTAACGTAACATCAAGAAGAGCTTTCACATCTGTGTATGTTTCATGTTTAGAAATATTGTTCATAAATATTTCATTTGTATTCTATGTTTTTAAAAAAGATAATACTTTTTTTTAGTATCTGTCTATATTTTGGAGATGAGGTATTATGTACACTATTTACATTATTTGAAATAATGTCCTCAACTTTGTCGCCATATTTATTACAATGTTTCAGCCATTGTATGCTCTGGCCTTCTTCAGGTGGTTGGAATGTCGAACCGAACACTTTATTTCACTTGCTGGGGTAGACTGTTCTAGTTCCACGTGCCATGTTTTAATGAATGTCAGTTGTCAGTTATCTCCTCTTAATTCCTCTCTCCAAGTTCTCCACTGCCTTAACCAGGTATTGAACTCACACTCTTTGGGTCCTGTCAATGGATCTAACTAACGCCCTTATCTAAATAGTGTACTTTTTTTAATATTAATTTTTACAAATAAATTTGTAATTGGGCTATTTTTTTTTTAATCATTTCATCCCAAGCAAGGCATTAAAGCCACTAAGATGCAAAGGATTACTGAGTGTCAGAGAACATGAGAAAAAAAAACACTATTAAGGAAAGAGAACATTAAAAGAACAGGAATTAAGAAGACAAACAATAGTGATTAACATTGCATTTAAATTTTTTGAAGATCAAAGTTGATTAGAAAGCAAGAGACTGAAAGAAAGTTCCACAGGCATGAAGTGTTAGCATAAAATTTATGATTACATCTAGCCATTTCAACTGTAAAATGAGACTTTGATGCCAATCTGGTACTGTGCTTAAATTCATAAAGTTTATGTACCATAGCAGAAAGTTCATCGGAATAATTATGATGAAAGTATTTATAGAAAAGACACAGGGAAGCTACATTATGATGGTGGGAAAGTGACTGAAGCCAAGATGCTAGATTAAGACCAATAATATTGCCAATTCTTTGAATTTTATCGAGAATCTCTAAATATATAGCAGGAGCGCCAGACCAGATGTAGCAATAATAATACAAATGGTAAACTTAAAAATTATCTAAGATAGATTTTGGAGAGAGAAATTGTTTACCACGACACAGTGAACCAACTTTTCTCACTGCAAACTTAGCTATTGATTCAATATAATCTTTTCACTTCATTTTATCTAAGGAACACTCCTATACAATATTTTTCATGGTTGTAAAAAATAAAAGAATAAATTATATCAGGCTCAGTTTATATATACTATAATTTTTTTTTTCTGTATGTTAAATGTTTATTTTATTTATTATTTTATAAATAGGTTCTGTAACTACTTACTATATACTAATAATAGCCCAATTTAATTTCCCCTACCTTGATTAAAAAAAAAAAAAACATCCTCAAAAACCTCTAGACATTTTTCAAGCTGCTAATAGTTATGCCTGATCATGATCAATTGAATCTATACAGAATCAAATAAACAACATCCTGGTATTTAAAAATGGCAGCTCCCATGTGTTTGCTTGGATTAAAATAATTTAAATATTTGCCCTAACTCTCCATTAGTGTTGTGGTGTGTTTGAATCCCACCACCCAAATGTTTTCCCTTAATATTTAGCAAGGAGCAAGTCAAATTTTCATAATTGAATAGCTTTCTGAATACCTATGTCAAGTAACTATTAAGAGATCCAGGTTTTAGTCCTAATATTTGTGTAAATTAAACTTTTATTTGTTTACTGAAAATAAAATGAAACCTTGTTTTACTTACTTGAACTTTTTAAACCTCCAAATTCATTTTTCAATATTAGCCTTTAAATTTGATTTTATAAAATAAAACATTTTCTTTTAATTCTTTTTTATCCTATAAAAACAAGGAAGGACACCCAAAACATGTAACAAGAAAATTAAAGACTATAATTTATGCATTTTCATTTTTTTGTATTGAATATTACAAGTAGAGAGAAAAAAATCTAATGTTATGCTAAGTTTGGCTAATTCTAATGTGTATTTTCTCTGTATTTCTTCCCAATTCTTAGACTGCTGCTCTTTTACTCCATATTCTTGACCATGCTGGTTGGTTCCATAGTATTGAGTCTTGTCCAGCAAATACAGATTCATCTTCTGATTTCACTCCTTCAACTGGAAACCATTCAAGTGACTTAGCCACCATTTTGAAGTCTGAATCTCACCTAAACACTGCTGCTGCTCTGCTACGACACATTCAACAGTTGGTGTGTAATGCCCATGCAATAACAAAAATTCATATTTCTGAGGCATCTCCTGTTATCAGCAGTAGCGGGGTTACAATTCAGACAACTAGCCAAGTACGGGTAGCAACAGCTATTTACCCTACAGCCAGTCTTATGAACCATTCCTGTGAACCAACTATTACGTCCAGGTTAGTTTAATCTTCATTTTTCTCTTTTGAGAATTCTTTAACTTAATTTAACCAGGGGCATCATTAAGTGTATCAAATGTATTTTCATTTTTACAGACTTATACTCCAAAGCTTGTTTCACATGCAAACCATGACAACATTATTAATATCATTATTACACACACACTCACACATATACAGGTCATCATTGATTTATGATAATGATTGGTTACAACCAATAAATCATAAATCAATCTCGTCACAAGTCAGCCTGTAATTAATTTTGCAGTCCTTTTATCTTTCTTTAGGCATTATTGTATTTTTTATAATTTTTACATTTACTTTACATTTGTTACCATTTGTATCATCTCTTTACAATTTTTGTTTCTTTACAATTGTCAGGTTTAAGTCAAACACTTCATACTACAGTCCAATTGGTTTAATATTTACTAAACATGCAAAAATAAACACATTTTAGTTGTAAAACATATCAAAACATGTAAAAATACAAAACATTAGCTACTGATGCGTAGTTGTAGAGCTGGGAAACACTCACACTGCCAAACATTGAGCAGTCACAGCCAGACATACAAATTCGCAGTTGGGTTTGTAAAGTTGCATAGGCTTTAAATTGAGAACAACTGGTATACATACACACACACACACATATGTATATACATTGAGGCAGAATATCTTCATTCAAGCATGTTTGGTTGAATAATTTGGAAATATTATGTCTATTTTTATTGTGATCCTCTCAAATTCTCCTATCAACTTCTTAATGTTGATATTAAATTCATTAAGGAAGGTACCATAGTTTTTTCTCTTCTTTTATTTTCATTTTTATTTTCCCACCTACTTTCATTCTCATCCGAGATCATCTTCGGGGTGAATTGCTAAGACAATAAAATTAATGTAACTGATAGTTGTTATTTTTAATTTTACAAACACACATAAATGACCTGTTATAATTATTTTAAAATTAATTGTTGAAGCTATAGCGTTTTTACATGTTTTTGATCTAAGGGAGGTAACTTAATCTGTATGACTAATCTATTCGATGTTGTTCAAAAACATTTTAAAAAACATTGCTATTATAAACATTTTAAAACATTGTTGCTATACTCATAACTAACCTTATTTAGTTTTTGTTGTTTGCTTCTTATGTAGAGGTCCTCAAAAATATGCAGTGTAAGTTTTGCACTTTTTATAGTATATAATTAGTTTAATTTTTTAAATTTATTCTAACTACAAACAAGATGGAAAAAAATCGCATGATGTAATATATCAGACTACTTCTGGGTAATCAAATGTCAAAATGTATAAAAACATGTTCCTAAGTAACACATTTCATCTCTAGAAGGAACTTCTTCATGCTAATAGAGATTTTATTGATAGAGTTAGGCTTATTTATTTAGCGGCGGGGAGGGGAATTGGCTTATATCTGAGAAGGAAAATACTCATAAAATTGTTCGTATAAGCATTATATTTTTTTTAAATTTTTACAAGCTGCATGTCTTTCAAATAAATGGAATAATTCCTAGATTTAAGGATTTTTTTTATGATGTGTATATTTTAAAAGTTTGTCTATGGTGTTTATATTTTAAAAGTTTGTTTCTCCTTTAATTATGTAAGTTTATTATTCTTAGTTTTCAGAAGGACACTTTAATCGTTCGTGCTGTCAAAGATGTAGAACCAGAAGGCGAGATTTTTAACTGTTATGGTAAGACTTTTTTCTCTTACAGTTTTGAATGATACTTCGATGTAGAAATTCTACACAAATATCCATCAAAGAATATAGTAGAGAGGTACAGATGGCTTAGGCATTAATGGCACCAAGAATTAACAAATTGAGTTCAAACTCTAAATAAGGCAATTTGCACTAATACCGTTGAAAAAGACCATTTCTTCCCCAAAAGATGGGTAAATGATATGGCAGTTATTCAACCTTGTACAGCTTTATATCTTAGACATTAAACTCATCTGCAGTCGCAATCTGGCCTCTTTAAAAAAAAAAAAAAAAAAAAATTCATCCTAAAACTATAGTAGCTGCCCTTGTGACTGTGAATTCCACAAGGAATTAGCAGGAATTAAAAATGTTAAAAAAAAAAATGCTTTCATTTTCTTATTAATTTTCATAACATTGACTGAATTTATCAATTTTTTTCTGCTAAGTTCTTTTTGTGTAAATTAATTTATACTTAACTAGTGAGCTGACAATTTTTTAACCCATTAGTACATTTTTTTTTGTTACTTAAAATTTAAAATCCGCCTCCCCTAATATTACCATTAGCCAGCAGGGTAGAGTTGATAAAAAGAGGTAGGGTTTTAAGAAAACTGTTATTTCCCATTTTGGGGGGCATGAGCAAAAATAAATGGAAAAGTTGTGCTCCATACAACCCCCCCCCCACCAATTGACCGACGGATATATATTGTCTTTTATTTCTGTAGATAGCATACTAAACAATCAAAATTTTGAAAAGTTTTATTCAATAAAGAAAATACCTTTTTTTCTTGAAGTACATTTTTTTTTACTACATTCTCCTAGGCCCCCATAGTTACCGAATGACTTTTGAAGAGCGGCAACAAATCTTAAAGGACCAATACTTCTTTGATTGCACTTGTAATGCCTGTAAGAATGCTGCCCAACAGAAAACCCTTGCACCAGTAAGTATGTTTTATACTTTTCAGGAATTTTGTATTTTATGGGAAACAATAAAAGAGTCTTTGTATTTGTGAAATTCATAGTAAATATGCAATCATTTTTTTTTGTTTTACTGCAGGCACAGCTTATTTGATAGTGTTTTTGACTTTGAAACCAATGAAAAATATTTCTACCTTTTATTCAGTTGAAAGTTATGAACCTGTTATATTCTGTGCGAAGGGAATAAATACTTAACACCAGATGGATAATAGAAGAAAGGTTTATTGTACACAACCAGTAAAATATGAAATATAGTAGAGTTATACACACAGGTCAATCTAGTAGTGATTGCCACTAATTGGAAAGTCGGACGTGCTTGCGTCTTCTCACTCTTCCTCCAGTCTCTTGTAGACAGTTAACTTTATAGGCACTTACAACCTATAGTGTAATCATTCATGGGGGTTACTGGTTATTCCATTACATCAGAATCTACTTTTGTTTTGTTTATTTTTTTAATTTTTATGTTACAATGTAAAGATGCAATGTGACCTTTGTCCAAGCTTTCTATCAACTGATTACACTACATTGCATTTTGTTTCTCAATCTTGTTGGTGAGCACAGAAAATTGACTAAGGCCCAACTGCATGCTCACAAAGTAAGATGAAAAACAAATGTCATGTTGAGTAATAACACAAACCCTGTTTCCAATATTATAAAATAGAAGTCTTTATTCTGGTCTTTGCCTACTCACCTGAGTGAGTAGGTTGGTAGGTGACACTGGATGATATCTGCTATATATGGATCTCTTCCTCCCCCCCCACCTACCAACTCCTTGCTCATCTACTCATCCTAATGTGTGACTGGCAATATGAATAGACAGCATTAGAACCACAGGACAGACAAGTCCATCTCCTACAAGAGCAGACCAGAACTCATCCCAATCATATCTGTCAATGTAGACCATGACCCAGAATGCAACTTATTACCAGTTTTGTTGTCACATGGGCTCCAAAATTTCTTATCCACTCCTTTACTTTCTCGTTCCTCTTTGGTCAAAGTACATGTCAATTCGAAGACTGAACATCAAAAGGAAGTGTCTGCTTACTATCAGAGACACTTGGGACCGACGAGATAAAACCACATCTTCCGTTCCCTTTTGATATTGGTGTCTGTAGAATCACAATGGAACATTTACAGTTGATCTTTTCAAATATTGTTGGAAAAAAGAAAGTTCTTCAGGTAAAAAGTTAATATAGTACAACTCCTCTAAATCAAACATCGGAGATGTTCCATATTGAGGCTACTGTTCAGATTCAAGGAAGGCTGCTGTGGCAAGCTTAAAATTTTTATTAAATTTTAGAGTTTAGGAGACAAAATGTAGTTTGTAACGTTGATTCGTTTTTATTTAAAGTGTAGATTGAATACATAAATGTACAAAAAATAATTGACAACCAATAGAAATGAAAAAATTTGTGCTAAACAAATATTGTAATTTGTGAAAAATTAAGACACTTTATGAAATGTTTAAAAATTTATGAAATATCTTATTCAACAATAATTCGTAAAGGAAGTCAAAAATAAGAATATACAGTACAACTCCACTAAACTGAATGTTTGGTATTGAGGGTACTGTTCGGATTCGGGGAAGAAATGGCTTCAGATTTATGTCACTATAAAAGTTTGGATTTGAAGATAAGTTCAAATTCAAGGAAGTCTAGATTATGCTTGGATTTGGGGATTTCTACTGTACAATTTGTATATACCTATTGTAACTGATTTATAATAGCTCACATTACAAGAAAGAATGGAAAAACTGGTAGGGAGCTTTAGATGACAGAAATGGTTGGTCAGAAGTTTTCATTTGAGAACAATCATGTAGATAAGATTAAAATTATAATCATTTTATTTTAATTAAAATTTAAATCTCATGCAGCAGTCAATACATAAATACCAAAATTTTCATTAAATACCATTACTGTATTTAGTAACATAAAAGATTCATGGGTAACTTAGATGCAAACTACCTTCACCATTTCAGCAGAAAACATTTTTAGTGTATTTAAGTATGTAATGTTTAAAGTAAGCTATCAGTGCATTGACAAATTACTTTAGTTATAGCATTCTTCTTCTATGTGCTGTGTTCCTTCAGGACATCGGCGATCATGGCTCTCCACAATTTCCTGTCCTTTGTAGAACTTAGTAAATTTTATCTTTTTGTTGTCTCTCCTAAACCTTGTTCTTCCATCCATTCACTCAAACTTGCCAAATAGGTTCTGCATTGTTTTCTTCTGTCCAACTTACCTTCAATCTGTCTTGTGAGTATCAAATTTTTCAAGCACACTTTTCTCATTTGCTTGAGAAATTTCAACTGTCTCTTTCTGATGTTAAGTATAAGTGTCCTTTGTCATTGCCCACATGTTCAGTCCTTGTTATTCTCAGCATCCTTCTGTAGAACCATGTTTCTTTTGCTTCAAGTTTCTTCTTCATGTGTGAGGAAATTGTCCAGTATTCACTGACGTATAGCAGATATACTCAAATATAGTACAAGTTTTTCTGATTAGTTTTTGACATAAAAAATAGGTGATTGCATTATACACAGGTAATTTTTTTTTTTTGAAGAGGTTAAAAATTATTCATTTTCAGTAACCAGTTGCACTCTACACAGGTAATTTTTTTCTAGAAGGATTAAAATTCATGCAAAACATTTCAGGTGTCATACTATATATGAAGTCAGCTTATACACAAATATATACAGTTGGAGGACTGATATTATGTAACAGTTCAGATCTCTTTTCTTTATTTGTAACAAAACTTCTGTTTCTTAATACTTTGTTTAGCTTTCGAAAGGCATCTTTCGCTATCTGAATGCAACTTCTGATTTCAGTATTGTCCTTTCCACCCCCTGTTAAAACACATTATTCTGTATAAAAGATAAGCTAATAATACAGTTGAACATAAGGCAACACAATGTAAGCACAGCCACCTCTTCACCAATCATTCTTTATATGATGGACATATTTCTCTGCAATCTTAATACTATATTTCCAGGTTAGTGCTTTAGTATTATCACTATTTCTTTTCAGTTATCTATCTTTCTTCTGTAGTTTCAAGATAATTAATGACATTAGATTGTTTAGGCATATCTAGGCATGATGAATCAGTTGCTACTACTTTATGATAATTCCTTTTATATTGTTGATAATATTAGAATTATGGAAAGACTAGCAGCATGGCCCGGTGTTGCCTGTGCTTGATTCAAAAATTGTACGACTCATACAGCAATCGCTATCACTTGACTTAAAATATTTTTGCCCTTCCTTGCCTTTAAAGGAGTGCCCTTTGCCGTGCTGATGTTGCTACATGCCTTACTTTTTGCCTATCTCACACTGAGTTTTTTCTAAGCTCTATACTAAACATTAAATCTGTTATGAAAAAGAACTAAACAAAATGAACACAAAACGATCAGCTTTTAAAAAGGACTTGTAACTGGAAAACCGAATGAAAAAAGAATGTTAACAACAAATACTTTTTCACACCCAACCCAGTTCTGCGCAATCAGAATCAACGTTGAGTTTAAGCAAGTGAATGAGCCAATTGCAGTAAAGTGCCATGCAGATTTGAATTTTTCCCACTTGTGACGAATGCAGCTATCGATTTTTTTTGCATGCTAGCATGCTAGTTAACATTCGTGTCAGTCAGCTGTTGGCTCTCACTCTGGCCAGTAGAAAATAGCCACAAACTACATGAAAACTGCTGTAGAAGCATGAAAAAATCGATTATTTCCACTATCGATGGGAGTTGGGAAATGCAAAGTCAATCTTGGCCTCCCTGCTAACTTGGAGCATGTGCATGTAAATTTTGGTGCAAATCCGTCAAAAACTGTGGCCGTGCATTCATTACACACACACACACACACACCCACACACATCCTGCCATTTATAGATAGAGATGAATCTTATATTTTGCATTAAATATCTATTCTGTACCCTTATATTTAAACAAACTTCAGATTACATTTGAATTTTTTCTTATTATTGCAGCTGATCAAATTAATTTTCAAATAGGATAATTATTATTACACACTGATTTGTTTATACTAATATCCTCATTTTGATTATTATTATATTTCATTCCTAATAGTCTTTGGTCCTTTTCTGTCATAACTGCGAGACATCCAAGAATTTCAAACTATACATTTTATCTAATTCAAGGCAATAGATTGTTTTCATTCCTCTGGATATACTAGAGTTATTTTATATCAATTCATCCTTGTGATAAAATATGTCATGGCATCATGGATGCTTGTAGAAAAGAATAATCCTGGCCATTGTTTTCCTGTAGTCTCAAGTTAGTTTTTACCTGTAGGCACAATTATAATAAAGAAAATAAACATTAAAAATAATAACAAGACTTTATATGTCATAAAATTTACCAACCCTACCATCCACCAGGCCTTGTGACCTGTAAGACAATTTGTTCAGGCAAAAGATTGTGGAAAATTTAATTTCAGCTTCATGTTCTTTATTAATTAAATTAATTTATTAATTAAAATCTTCTATATTGTGTTCAGCTCTTAGTTATGCATTGTGGATAAAATTAATTAAATTTATTAATTAAATTGAGTTAAAGCTTCCTTTATATTTTTAAATTGTTTAAGTAATGTCAGTTACACTATTTTCATTATTTGGACTATTGTCTTCATCTTTGTTGCCATATTTATCACAACATTTTGGCCATTGTACACTCCAGCCTTCTTCAGATGGTTGGAATGTTGAACTGAACCCTTTATTTTGCTCACTGGGGTAGACTGTTCTAGTTCCAGGTGCCATGTTTAATGAATGCCAGTTATCTCCTGTTAATTCACCTCTCCAAGTTCTTAAGGACACATGGCACAGTGGATAATAGCGTTACTTAGATACAGTAAAAGGACCCAAAGAGTTGCGAGTTCAATACCTGGTTAAGGCAGTGGAGAACTTGAAGAGGTGAATTAACAGGAGATAACTGACATCCATTAGACATAGCACATGGAACAGTCTACCCCAGAGAGTGAAATAAAGGGTTTAGTTCGATATTCCAACCACCTGATGAAGGCTCGAGCGTACAATGACTGAAATGTGATAAATATGGCAACAAAGATGAGGACAATAGTCTGAATAATGTAAATAGTGTACATAATACCTCATCTCAGAAATACAGAACGATAATGTCAGTTAGATGACAGTCTCCTATAAGTTGGTTTTTCAGCTAATATTTCATGTAAATTGTTTTATAATTTTAATTTTAATTTTGAAAAATTTAGAATGGCATATGTCCTAAGTGTGTAAATCCTAAACCAATCCATCTTATGGAAACCGGAAAGTTGACATGTGACCAGTGTGCCTACTCAAAGTCACTGGCTGACCGATTATCCAATATTGCAAAAGCCGAACAAACTTTCACTCAGGGTCTCTACCAGCTGGATTCTGGTAACATTAAAGGTAAGTATTTGTTGGCCTGTTAAAATTATTATTTATTTTAACCAGAACATTTCACTACTAACCTGTTTTTAATTACTTAATTGTTACTTAAAAGTGAGTCCCAGGTGAAATGAGTTAATTTATATTCATGTGCATAATATTGTTTATGACATGTCTCTCTCTTCATATATATATATATATATATATATAAGCAGTAAGTATTTATTCAAGCAAGGTCTGTCTTTAACTTTATTGTATTTTTCAAAATGTCTGAATAAGATGTTGTATATAAGAATCAAAATTGGGGATAGACTGTCTGAAGTGCATGTTCCTTCTGTTCAAGTATTTTTTACTTTTTCTGACATTATCAAGGACCTGGTTTTGCCAGTTGTCAAAATACTACTAACAACATAAAACAAATATTAATGGATAATACCAAAATACTATACACTACCCAATACAAGGAGCAACTCAAAACCTTAGAATCTATTATTATATAAAATAAATAGCCCAGACTAAATAATATATTTGGCACCAAAGGAGACACTATCTTGAATTCTAAATAAAATATTTAATATCTGTACATAATAATAATAATAATAATAATAATAATAATAATATTCAATGCATGCTTTTCTGGTACAGTGTTTGAATGGATTCAGAGCTTCAGCTCTGGTTGGTTGTTTTTGTTTAGTGGCATATCAACACCTCTATGGGTTATTTAATGCCAAAATCTAAATACTTTGTACACAATTTTATGGCTTCAATTACAGATATTTTATACATAATTTTATGCTTTCAGGGCAAGCATGTTCTTTTTAGATATATAGTTTGTAGATGATAAAATGTATTGCTAGTAATTATGCTATAAAAATGTATTTTTATACTTTAGTGTTGTATTGATTGTTATTTTTCTAATAAAATATATTACAACTGATATTTTTTTTTTTTTTTTTTGTTTATAAATATATTGCTGGTGTTTTTTCTATAATGTATTTTGTACATGTGAACCACCATGCAAAAATCAAAACACTATTTTCCCATAGCTGGGATTCTAGCAGGTGCTACCACCGTAGGTCAGGGTACTCAACTCTGAACTATCCTGTGGGAGGGTAGTGAGTAGAGAACTATAGCCTAGTGGATTAAAGCATTGGTTTTTGAATTTGGTGACATATTAACTGACATTAGAGCTCAATTGAGGACCAGAAATATGCACATTGATTGAAATCTCCTCTCTGACATTAGAGCTTAATCAAGGATGACAATGTGTACGGCAACTGAACACATTTCTCGTCCTTGATTGACCTCTGATGAGAAAGGAGTGACAAACCACTTAAGTTGTTTTTTCTTTTAATTTCTTTGCTTTTCAATATTACAGGTTGAGTATCCTTTATCCAAAATTCCCAAATCCAAAGACCTCCAAAATCAAAAAGTTTTTCAGGTGCTGACATGACTTACCAAAAATGGAAAAATTTCAAAATGCACTGGGAAGGTTCCTAGATGAGGTGCAGCTGTTGTAAGTGACCCTCATCTGCCCTGGATGGGGGTTCCCTAACCCAGCTACATAGCCTACATTGGAGCCAGTATTTTGTTAGCAATTGTCATGACAACATCGTCATTTGTAGATTACTGACCAGGTTTTTCATGTTTCTTAATAAGCATAGAAAGTACAAAACATTAATTTTTATCTTAATTTCACCACTTAAAATTCCGTGTGAGCATTACATGACCAGCATCATTACCTGTATCTGTATGTACGCAAAATTTATTAAATTTTATATCAAACTATCTTCAGGGTATATGTATAAGCCGTGTTATGAAATGTAAAGGGATATCGTTTTTATGCTTGGCTTCCATTCCCAAGCTCCCTCATTTTATGTTTGTTTTAATTGCAATCATAAGTTTATCTTGAAATATTTCATTTACTTTTAAATGTACAACAACACAAAACTACCATATTATCTTTATGTAAGCCTGTTTCCCTAAATACACTGTTACATTCATTCTTTTGTATTCTTTCCAGTTGCATTGGAATTATTCGAATCCTCCTATTCTTTGCGGAAGGCTGAGCTACCTGAGAATGGCCGTGAAATTGGGGAGGTTTTGGATTGCATTGCCAGATGCTTGGCCTCATTAGGCAAGTGTTTTGCCTTCAATGATTTTATAATTACACTAATCAAATTATTTCATCAGAACCTTTATTTTGGAAATATTCAGTAAAAAATCAATAGGAATTTGTGGACAAAAAATATTTTTTAAAATCTTTTATTTTCAGCTATAAACTCAGATTGACGGCTTAGTCATTAGCAATAATAACCTCATGGATGTGTGGGTAATGTAGCATTTTATGACCTGGAAAAAGAAATTAGTAAGCTGGAATCAAATTCCAACCAAGTACATTATGTTCACTTTTGCACAAATACCCTTGAGAAAAGTATGATTCTATCTCTTCTGTCCCCATATATCGGTTAAATAGCAGGGATGACTAGTCTCTCTTGCATTGAAGTGGCAACCAGTCTAGAAGAAAGAAATCTCTGAATTCAAAACCAGCTTGTAGAAGAATGGGCTCCATAAGGCTATCTTGCCCCAGATGCACCACTTCTGCTATAGCTGCAGTACATTTGAGCCCCTACAAATAGCATGCCAATGATCTCATGATAAAATTAAGTTTAATCTCAGCAGAGATATAGAAATGGACCAGACAAAAATATTATCACATTTAAGGATTGTAAGTGAAATTGCTTGTTTCTTAGTCTGGTCATCTACTGCGGTGCCTTTTGTAGACACCTTGTCAGGCACATTGGTGTGTTTTCAACACCCACAGAGGCAACCTGTGATTTATAATGAAACTATGCTGAGCATCAGAACTGAGTTTCTGGGAGAGAGCAAGTAATCTGACATGATCAGTAGTTTAACAAGGCCATTATGTTCAAATCATCAGTCACAAAGATTTACGTTTTGGCATTATTGCCCTAGGGAAGGACATGGATCCACTTCTCCCTGCAGTCTATACCATTGTAACATGATAAGTGTTCCACATGATTGGCTTAAAACACAATAAAGTTAAGTGGGCCCTAAATGATTTTATCTGTTTGAAGCATGTTGATTTTTGTTTTTTATGACCAGCAATAAAGTTTATGAAGTAGGATCTTCAAAGCAGCCAAGCACTTGATCAAAATAATAAGTAAATAATTGAAAACTTTTCAAGAACAATTACTACTTGATCAGAAGTTAGAAATTTCCACTGGCAAGCTTATATAAGCAGTCACAGTTAGAGGTACTTCCAAGCCATGGGCTGTCCATCAAGAAAGTTTTGATGCTGCCTGTTAGAGTGAATAAACAACCAAATATATTGGAAATGGGATTCATGTTTTCATTTCTCACTATGGTGGTAATTTCCACATTACATTGGTTTTGGCAGTGTACAGTGGGCCTTATCCAGTTTTTGTACACATCAGCATGAACATAAAATATGGAGGTTATTTGTCTGATCATTGAAAAACTGAAAGAGGAATCTATTGTATGTTTACACCAGTCATGGATAAACTGCAGCCTGCAGGTCACATGTGGCCTGATTAGCATTCTGAATAACGTTATTAAAATGTTGTTTGTTTCCATTCATTCTCATTTGTTCACTGATGTATAGCCACATACATAAAATAATGATCAAGTACAACGTGACTTGAATTTTGTAACATTTCGTTGAAGGTAATCTTGTCAGCATTTGAAACCATTGGTAATTTTCACTCAGGAAGATCATAAGTATAAACACCTTTTGCTTCAGAAACCAGAAATGTTAATAATTATTTTTCTCTAGAGAATAAATATGCTTCTTTTAAAAAATGTTTTTTTCATCGTCAAATAAATAAATTAGAGATATATCACTCAGAGCAGCATGTGTTAATCACTCTGTCATCAGTGATAATGTTATATCAGGACTTTTTTTTTTTTAAATTATAAAAGGAATCTTTTCTCTAAAGAGAAAAGAATCATCTTTTCTCTATTTCTATGGCAGATACTTATGCACATGCTCTTTTGTTGGAAAAATGGCTGCAGTATCTGTAATGGAAAAAAAGCTTTTTAGTAGGGGTGACCCTCCTTATGATGAACTGTGCCTCATGTGGTTCACTGTTCAAAAAAGGGTTGCACACGCCTGATTTACACCATCATCTGGTAGCTTGACAAAATGCCCGCTCACTGGTGATACCAAAATGTGTGATTACTTGCATAAACCAACTCTCCCATAATTACTTTACCTGCTCAGTTAGTTGTAGCAAAATGTGGCTATACCTATTGTGCAATTCTGTATAAATGGCTACACAAATATTGTCTTCCCTCATAATGTATTATATTAAACAAATTGAAATTTTTTTTTCTTTGTTTCAGGTCAGTATGAAGAAGCCTGCAAGTTCTTAACTCGCAGTATCTTCATTACAAGACATTGCTATGGTAGCTGTAGCCTTGAGCTGGCGCAAGAATACCAAAAGTACTGTGACATGTTATACCTGGCAGGAATGATGAAGAAAGCCTTGAAATCTGCTGCACAAGCAAAGGAAATATTTTTGGTGCACTACGGTCCTGATTGTCCTGAAATAAAAGAACTAACTCGCTTTGAAAAGGAACTGAAGGCAAAAAAGAAAATAGCTATTTGATGAAGCTGTTTTATCCATAGAATGATTTCTAGATCTGTCTATATTTCTGAGATGATGTATTGTAATTATTTACATTGTTGCAACTGTTCTCTTCATCTTTATTGTCATGTTTAAGACTTTTCGGCTGTTGTGCACTGTGGCCTTCTTCAGGTGATTTGAATTTCAAAGTGAACCCTTTATTTCATCCACTGGGGCAGATTGTTCTTGTTCCATGTGTCATGCCTCTTCCATATGTCTCAGCTATCTTCCTTTAACTCAACTCTCCAAGTTTTTTTTTTTTTTTTTTGTTCACCACTGCCGTAGCCATGTATTGATCTCACAACTCTTTGGGTCAAAGTCTACCAACGCTTTTATCCACTGGGTCATGTGTCCTTGAAGTAGTTAAAGGGAGATAACTGAGACATCCGAAAGATGCATGACACGTAAAAAAGGAATAAACTACAGTGGACGAAATAAAAGGTTCAGTTCGAAATTCCAATCACATGAAGAAGGCCGGAGCATACAACTGCCAAAATGATCTGAACATGATAATAAAGATGAGGACAATGTAAATAATGTAAATGATTTTCAGATGTTTATGGAAAAGTCTT